TGATTGGATGTTCAGGCGATGTCATTGTTATCCGACAGGTTCATTAAAGACAACGGACAACCACACGCTGCACAAGTGCACGTGTAGGTTTAATAATGGCAACGACTTGTCTGGGGAAGCTGTAGTTCTAGTCGCGCCAAGTTCTTGGTACACGTGAGCCGGGGAGCGCCAGGACACCTGACCTAGACACTCTCCGGAGACAGTGTTCACAGTACCTGTTGCTGCAGCTGTACCTGTTGCTGCAGCTGTACCTGTTGCTGCAGCTGTACCTGTTGCTGCAGCTGTACCTGTTGCTGCAGCTGTACCTGTTGCTGCAGCTGTACCTTTTGCTGCAGCTGTGGCTCGAGTCTCAAACTTGAGTGATTCGTCGAGCACAACTATGACCTTAATGAGCGGCTCGTACTTTGTTTCATTTTCGCTTTATTTTTAGTACTAATCCTGATTGAATTGATCTATCTACTAAGTCAAGCGTTTTGTATATTAAGTATAATTGTGTTGTCAAGAACTTACACTCATGATTAGTATTGTTGTAGCACTAGACTAGATATGCCTGCAAATCAATATAGGTCCGGTATATTTTGCGCGGATCGGAACCGCATATTTTTGTTCCCCTCAAAATGTTAGAATTTATATAATATCCACCTCCTTTGAACAAAAGATTCCTAAATCCCATACAATGGAAAGTAAAAGCAAACATTGTCAGAACAATTCAATAAGTACAATAATTTGTAGCCGATCGTGATTTCATTATACTATTCGGTATTTAATAATTATACTTTTTACTGATTACCAGGTCTGTCTGTTTTAATCACTACAGTTACAGAGTAATAATATTATGTCGCTGAATATCGTCTGGTGACAATTATTCAGTTATTACTATAAATAATATATTATTTATCATCGTTCTTCATCTTTAAGGAGTGTAATCAGAACAAAATCAACAATTTATCTTGAACGAGTTAGTGGTATTAATTACCGTATTTAACTGCGGTTCGTGACAAAGATTGTTATGGCTCCTATCAAACATCAGTCACAGGTTTTTTAATCTCTTCTGTTGTTAATATTAAATTGCTTTCCAAGATTTTAAGAGGACATATCTTCTATAACTTCCTGATAATCTCATATCATGAATGTTTTATTGTATTTACACAGCCATAGTTAAAATTTATAAAAGACACACCCGAAGACAGGGTTTAACTTTATCTTGGTTGAAGTATAAACTCTATAGATCCCACAATTCCAGTGTTTATACACATCAAAATAATAACCAGAAAGCAGAAGTGTTCGATACTTTGACATTTTGTTATAAAATTTTAGACATAAAAAGCATTGTCCTGAAGTTTATAATGAATACAGATTAACATACTGAATATAGAAGCCTGGAAGTGAATGGTGATGAAAGTGATGATAACCCACTCAAATTCTCCCACACATATCAGGATTACTGTATTCAATGCGGTAGAATTATTACTCACCAGCACATTGTTTTGCACTGCACACACCACACAGCATATAACTCAAAGCACCGATCTCAGGCTCACGTCTCAGCTTTCTTTGTTTTTGAATTAGTAAATTTCACAGCTGCTGGTGTAGGGGAACTATTTGAGTTGATTTGCCTATCACAGTATCACCTACGTTTTTAGTGTAACGACAATTTTAATAAACCTGTTATTTGTAGTCCAAAGGCTGATTTAAAACTCCAAATCTAACCATTCCTCGTCCTCCTAGCCTCTCTCAGTTATCACAATTTAAACCTATCATGGTATCTACCACCATCAAAACAACCACAATTAAGTAATTATGATAATTCAATGTCTACTCACAAGACCTGTTACACCCATCAATATGCAGGATTCAGTACACGCATTATCTATTTGGTAGCTGCTAATCTGGAGGAGCTGTGGCCCAATTAGACACATTTTGGGGCGATAAGGTATATTTCCTATATTTCCATACTCGTGAATCTTGATCGCAGCTATGTAGGAGTCATATTACGGATTACATAGTCACAATAGTGACTTTAATAGATAATATGTTCCATTTTCTTCTCAGCCCGACCTTCTCATTCTCATGACCTTAAAGTTGAAGTGTCAGATTCGTGCGTATCTGAGTCATGAAACATGAAAGTTGTGCGATTAGATGGCTCGAATTGTGCGATTTTCATTTGCTGAATTGGTAAACAGTTTGTATAATGTTTGGGGTGGCGAGAATTTTTGTTGTTTGTTTGCTTCGAAGCAGAATGAGATCAAATAATCAGTGTGGAATTAAGTTAAATGTCTGAGAAAATACTGTACAATGTACGTAGAAATGACTTAGCATGTTGTTACTGTTACACAGCCAGTTATCATTGTTCCCAGCTGTATGCCGGGACATTTCGCTGTAACAACAGGCATGTTCTTACAATTAGTATTGTTGTTAAGAGCCATTAAAGGTAATGAGGGAGATTACCACATCGAGGTTGAAACTGTGAGAACTCTCCGAGAGAAAGCAGCTGTTACACTCCTTTGTTACCTGCGCTAGCTTGTATTGTATTGTATAATAACGTTCACAAATAACCGCTCAGCTAGATTAGAAGACTCCGACATTTGCATCTGTCTGTGAATTACAAATCAGGTTAAAGTGTATTTAGTGTAATAGTATCTACCCAGTGATTCATGTTTCATATGTACAAGAGTACAAGGACAGTTGTCTAGCCCTTGTTAAGATCTTGGCTTACAATTATAATCGTTTAACTTCAATGGTTTAGTCATGAGGCCCATCGTTAGTCACTCTTTGTCACTCTTCGTCACTGAATAATACATTTTGACTTTTGTTCTTTCCATACACAGCAAATTCTCCGACTCATTCTACCCAAATTTTATCTCTTATATCACATGTACTATACTATGTAGTAGTCAAGTGACGTTTAAAGACTTTGGCCACAGACATTAGACAAGATTTAACTTTTGTGTGGAGCTCAGTTCTGAAAATCACGGTATTTTTCTCACAGTCACAATGACACTAACATAACCTGACATGGTAGTCAAAGTGTAAGACATAAAATTGTGACTCGCTTGGAGCCACGCGTCTTCTTAACTTCTATCAGTTTCGGGTGGGCTAATTAGAACAAATTTATTCCAACAATTAGACAATAATATATATAATATTACAAATTCGATTTCATAATATCAGCGAATGACTGACGAGTCAGCGTCTCAACAGTCGACATTTGGTTAAGTATTGAGACCCTGACAAAGCGAATTGTTGAATATTTATTGACTAAACCATTTGTTATCTTCTATTGGTAGCGCCTGCTAGATTGGGCACTAGACACTGCTTTACTGACTGCTTGGTGACTGATAATTAAGCATCCAAGAATCCTGATGCTATTTCATGAAAATGTTTCTTGACTCTTATTTTTGAACACTTTATATCTTTGGAAACTCTTTATAACTCTGAGATCTAACTCTGATTTAAGCGCATTTCTTCAGTATCTTTCTAATGCCCGTGGACAAGGATAATCAGAATCAAAATTGATTAATTTATAATAAAAAATAAATCAAATTATTCAACCATTCATAAACTTCATTACTTATTACAAATTTACAGAATCAAGCTGTACACTTAGATTATTTTATGATATGTATAATATTGGTCTTGTACTTGCGATTAGTTTTTGGTTGCTAATTTCATTTGTTGATAATTGATCATAAACTAGTTAAATAGATCTAGAATCAGTGTTAATGTAAATTGACGCAATAGTAACAGTGGCCAGTGCTAAATATCAGCAATCTGTGTTTTGCCAATAAACAAGTGACACAGGTGTAGATCCAGCAACCTAGTGGCTCCCTCATTTCGGTTAACAAACCAGCTGCTGGATTAAATATTTATCTGTTTAAATGGACATTTGTAATAGCCGTACTGTTGAGCATGCTTGGTGGCCACCAGGTCACGCCTTACCGCTTTTAATTATTTGTTCACTATAATTAGTCTGTTTAAAGATTGCAAATGACACCTATTATTTATAGGAACCACAGTGTGACGTATTTGACGTGAGCTACTGAGTACCAAACATCCGCAGGAAACATCTTGAAGAAATATAAGTTTTAACTTTGTTTTTATAATTCATCTATTTTTATCTCCTTCTGGCATGTTAACATTCTCTAAGTGCCAATATTTCTAGATTACTAAACGTTATTGTATGGTTTTAAAATTGAACCTAGACCTCAGTGAAATTCGATACAACGTTTGCAGTACGTTTATTCTTTGTGAACTGATATTGAGATTTGGTGTTCTACATTCTAAACTGTGATTTTAACCTCTGTTACCTCTCGCAGTCTACTAAACCACCAGATGTACTGAATGTTACTGTGCCTCCGCGACTACTCATTCGTTACTAATGATCCACGATTACTCTGATGTTTTCTCTGTTTAAATTCGATTTTAACCTCGTGAATCGTATGACTAAGTTATCGCGTACGTTACACATTTTTCTTCTAAGGTTAAGATTCTCAATTCTCATATATTATTTGCATTAGTCGTTCATCATATCACTTTTAGGTTTCGAAATAAGTTTACCATGTCTGATTTTGGTTCAAGGGTTAAACGAATTCATCGCGCATACATTTATCCTGTGGAGCAATTGAACTATTCTGATTACTAAAAATACCATCACATATTTATTATTGTATGACATACATATTATCGTGATTGAAAAACTCTTCTTTCGAAAATCACACTCACCACTCATTTCTCTTTCATAGAATCAATAACTTATACTGCGTTCAAGTCCTATGCATATGGTTATAGTATATCGAGTAAGTGCACTTTTCTATAACTTAACCCATTGACAATATAATATATTATATGATAGGAATATGATGATTTTTGAAATTTCCTTTTCAAGGCCAAGGGTACAGATTGTCAGCTGTGCAGTTGACCTAACCAAGTATCAATGTAGGAAGTTTATGTCAGCTGTAAAGTGTCAACTTATTGACCCAACCAAGTATCAATGTAGGAAGTTTATGACAGTTGCGCTACTCTTATCAACTCTCCTTGTTTTCTCGGCAATTTGCACCGACGATGATTGGAAAGCAGGAGCCGTTATCGATCATGTGGACGGTAAGGATAACATATCAGTTATTAAATTTAATACGCCAATTTTAAGTTTATTATTATTATTAGATACAATATAAGTAAGAATAAAATCGACTCCAAAATTGAATTTAGTGTTCTGTTATTCTTCAAACAGGTGCGATAACTACTTTTGATTCAGGTGACGTGGTAGTTTGCTACTTGAGTAAAATAATCTCCCAAAAGAACATCCAGAATCTCCTCTCTTTTCAAGCAGTGGTTACGAATCAAACATATTGGCCCAAAGGTACATAGATTGATATAATAATAGCAGCACACTTTTGTGCAACCAACGACTATTCATTCGCAAGGTAGTGCTTAGAAAGTGATGTGGTATTACTTTTGTTTTTGATAAATTACTCAAAGCTGCTATTAAATCATGTTTAAAAACTTTTCCTAATTCACCTAGATTTCACGGTGGGTTACGTGGTTGTTAAATGGTTCAATATACCCGATGAAAGTCATGTAAACAGACTTTTGAAGGTTCTCAATGAATACCCAAAGATAATCGCGTTCGTGGGGTTTGTGGGGAATTTCATTGACGTCATACAATCTGCTTCCTTTGTATCTTCCATCAGGTTTGTAAATACTCTAAAACACTATCGTATTTTAAGGAAAACCAATAGAACAGACTAAAAATAGTTTGAATGTTGGCAGTAGGGTCACAATTTGTGCTATACATATTTTCATGCGTGGAGAATAAGCAGTTAAATTTACATCACTGCTTATAATGTGATAACATTATTTTCACAACTTTGAGTTGTGAAAATAGTTTTATCCAACGAGTTTGACGAGTTGGATAAAAACGAGTTACATACCGAGTTTGACGAGGTGTGTAAATCATGTTATCATATTATAGGCAGTGATGTAAATGCATTCTCTGATGATCTACGAAATGATGCTAGCGAATGCAGCATTTACATCGGAAATTAACGACCGATAATATTACTACATATAACATTCCAGAGTCAAACTTTCTAGAGGACACATCCTTATCTTTTAAAATTGTTACAATTCGCTGAGATGTTGCTAATTATTTTTAAAACAGAAAGTGGCATAGTAGTATAGCTTATGTTCTGATAAATATTTTGCTTCAAAATTTTACAGAATGTCAATAACAAGTATAGTAGTCAAACCTTTGTGGCAAGTTTTGTGTGAGTGTGAGCTTATTTTACCAATTTAAAATAATTAGCAACATCTCAGCGACCTATAACAATTTTAAGAGATAAGGATGGACCAGGGCAATAACAATAGTTATCGCACTCCTATTTACCTGTTAATCACAGCCTAAATGTAGTTTATTGTTATATAATAATAGTTATTGCCCTCCCAGTTATTGCAACCCTATTTAATGCATTATATTATCGTAAACAAGAGTGAGATAACAACTTTTACATTATGGACAGTTACACACTGATCATGAGAGAATACAAATTAAGTAACGACTTGAAGGAATTCAAAGGTTTAAACACATTCTTCAGGATACCCACATTCACATGCTCGATCAGCATTAAGATAGATCAACTATTGGAGGTGGACAACCAGGAGTTTATGACTAGGATCACTGCTTCTAGAACTCAGCAAATTAGTGGCACCATACCCAGGTAACAATCGTTTTTCTTATTCTCATTCATCGATTACCTTGAAATTAAATATATATAATATATACCTTTTTAACAGTCATTGCAGTTCAATTTTAAATTATCCAGCAAAATAGAATTACATTATCCAGAAAGTAAGCTTTTTTTGTTTGCTAAGATCTAATCCCGCCTAGCATATTGGATGGTCTCGGTACAAATATAGTGAGTGTCTTCTATACCCAAGATAAGTCACTCGAGTTCAGTAAGCTGACTCAGCAACTTGATCTGAGAAAAGACCATGTAGATATGGAATATCATCAACAGTTGACAGGAGATGGAGCTGCTGATGGCAAAGCTGGTGAGATAAATCTGAGATTTATAATTAATTTTTCATCTAAAGTGTCTGATTTTTCGTATAAATACTGAATCCAAAAATCATCTTTAGAAACTGTGAAAGTTGACACCGTAGGTCCAATATTGATCCAGTATTGGTCTAATTAACAGCATACAGGTATGCTCCATTACTCCTAAACATTGCTAAATGCGTTTTTATGTTTGAATTGTTAAAATTTTTCAAAAACTCATGAACTTTCATCTAATTTAAAGTGAATTAAACCGAGCTGAAAGGGGTACTGGAGTAAACAGTTAACACCCTTTTTACTTGCTTACTCCAAGTATTAGTAGTGTTTTTACACACAGTTAACATCGACAGTCGAATTTACATAAAGTTTGACATGGTTTTTACATAAAGTTTGACATGGTTTTGTAAGATTACCACATCCAAAAGGGATATTCAGCATTAGTCCACTGTTGATTACAAATAGTCCACTGTTGATTACAAATAGTCCACTATTGATTACAAATAGTCCACTGTTGATAACAAATAGTCCACTGTTGATAACAAATAGTCCACTATTGATTACAGATGGTCCACTGTTGATTACAGATAGTCCATTATTGATTACAGATAGTCCACTATTGATTACAAATAGTCCACTGTTGATTACAGATAGTCCACTGTTGATTACAGATAGTCCATTATTGATTACAGATAGTCCACTATTGATTACAGATAGTCCACTATTGATTAGAAATAGTCCACTATTGATTACAGATAGTCCACTGTTGATAACAAATAGTCAACTATTGATTACAAATAGTCCACTATTGATTACAGATAGTTCACTGTTGATTACAGATAGTCCACTACTGATTACAAATAGTCCACTATTGATTACAGATAGTCCACTGTTGATTACAAATAGTCCACTGTTGATTACAAATAGTCCACTGTTGATTACAGATAGTGTATGCCTTATGCTCGTTACAAACTCTATTATGGATACTGACAAACACCAGTTTTAAAATAACAACAACAACATAAAATTACTTCAGTTGTAAATCATCTCTCTGGAGACAGCGACGAAGACCACTCACATGTCGAAGAACAGAGAACACACACCGTAATATTGTTGTTGGCGAGCAAAGACCTTGCAAAACTTATCATCTATCTTGCCTCTCAAAAGGTGATTTATTAGGTTTATTAGTTTGATCTTAAAGTTTTGGGAGTTTTGTTAAAACCATTTCTACAATATGAATCCAAGTTCCAACTGATCAAAATCACAAATTTTTCATTCAACCTACGATCATTCTGCCCGACTTGAAAATCAACCAATCATCAAACTCTTCACTGTAAAAAGAAACCTAAATGTTCAGGGGCTCTCGGATGTTGTTTTTATTACCGATTCCGGTGGTTGTCTTTCTTCTCCTGAGTTCCAAACAGCGATGGAGAACCTAACCACTAAGAAAGTCTACTTTTTCAGGTCCAAATTGCTTTTTATCCGCCTTTGTAGAATTTTTCGTTTTTGTGATGGAATTAAAGATGATATATACAGCAAAACCTCCATATCCGGACCAGATTGGAACCATTCGTTAGGCAATTTTTCCAGAGTTAAAATGTTCCGGTATCTAAAAGGTTCGGATCATAAATGGCCGGGATTAAAATATTTAATTCGTGACTTTGTTGTTCCGAGTTGCTAAAACCAGAACTACAAAAACACATGCAAAATACAATTAAACATATTTCGTAGATATTGTTTTTGACCCATCCGCATGGCCTAGTTGGGTTAAGGCGCGGATTCCATGGCATAGATCCCCGTTTCGATTCTCATTGACGGGAATCATGTTTGACAAAATATTTTGTTTGCCGCTATGATAATTGATAATGAGTGCATATCTGCAGTTTTATATCCTTGAATAGCATAGTGTGCCCTGAAACTCGAGGTCTTTGTTTTAAAGATATAGATTCTAAGAATGTAATTTACGCGAGAAACAACTACATTCCGTCATTCCACGTTGTCACAAGCCCGCTAAAGAGAAATTTTGAGCACAGCTTCGATAAAAACATGATATGCATCTATAGAATATAGAATTCAAGGCGATGATGCGGAGCGACTTGGACTCACCCTCGAACGTAGAAAAAGCAGAAGAGTGGGGCCCAAGATCATCACCGATGTGGACTTTGCAGATGATATAGCACTTACATCTGAGGACATGGACAAGGCTAACGAGTTCCTGCTCAGAGTAGAATCGGCGGCAGCAAGCGTGGGACTACACATAAACGAAGGCAAGACCAAGGTCATGACACTGAATATGGAGGATCGATCTAGCGACCTACAAAGTCGATCCGGGGAAGTCATAGAAAATGTAGATGATTTCATCTACTTAGGCTCCTGGATTGAGAGCACAGATAGGGAGATAAGGGTTAGAAAGGGAAAAGCGTGGGGTGCCCTACATAGACTGAAGGATATCTGGAAATCCAAACTCTCAAAGAGCCTAAAGATTAGATTGTTCATAGCGGCTTGTGAATCAGTACTGCTCTACGGATCAGAAACCTGGACACTGACAAAGGCTCAAGAGAAAAGTTTGGACGGACATACACAAAGATGTTGCGTATGGTGCTGGGTATCTCATGAAAGGACAAGGTCAGCAATATAACTTTGTATGGTAGCCTCCCAAGGCTGTCAAACAAGTTACGAAGCAGGAGATTAAAAATGGCGGGACACTGCATCCGACATCCTGAGCTACTTGCCAGTGATTTAGTCTTATGGGAACCTACGCACGGTAGAGCACAGCAAGGCCGACCAAGACAAAGCTACTTGTCTATGTTACTGAAGGAAGTTGGGACAAACTCTAAAGAGGAACTGCGAACCCTGATGCGGGACAGGGATATATGGAGGGGGTTTTCTGGCGTAGATCGGACTTAGCTCCGACATAGTAGTAGTAGTAGTATATAGAATTAAATCTGTCGCCGAGTAGTAGATGTGGATTCTGTTGGGGAAGTTAGATATATTTTTTGACACGTGAGTGATTCTGGGATCTGATTGGTCATTAGTGGAATTTTATCGGATAATTGCTGTCACGTGTAAAAAAAATATGCCCCACCTCCCCACTAGAATCCACATCTATTACCCAGCGACAAATTTAAGACTTAACATTTTATTCCGGCACCCAGGAATCTTACCATCAGAGTTTGGGCACGTTCTAAAAATTTACGGCAGTTTGGTGGTCCGAAGTTGGATGGTCCGCGACGTTTCATTGTATATATCTCATAACCGATTCCTTTAATTATGGATCCAAAATAGAACAATTTTAATGAGAAGAGGTTGATCCTCAGTTTTTCAGGCTCTGTCAGACAGCAGTCTATAAAGCACCAGAACTCATTAACTACATTGATAGGTATAATCTTTACACCCGCACTAATGGAGAGTTAAAACCCGCCAGCAAGGTACGTGGCTAGATAAAGTAAACATTCTGTTATTAAGGTTAAATTTTAAATACGTAGAAGTGCCCATTTCTTTTGGGTCGATCCTGCATAAGGTGATAAGGTAATCTAGATCTTTATTTGAGGGTAACTTGATGTGGGTAGCAGTGTAAAAACGGTAATATATTTTGCATTGTTCAGGTGATTGATAACTGGTACAAAAATGATAGAAAGTTGACACCTTGTGTCGTAAGAGAAGATAAGAACTGCATATCTGTAGGACAAGTTTGTACAGAAAACACAAATTTATCAAGGTTTGAATCTATAGTTTCATTATTGAAATAATAAAACCAATAACGAGTAAAAATACTAGCTGTAACCCGACCGTTATAAGGGGTATTTAGGGCCTTCAGCGCGGAGGAAGCATACTGCAGAGTATATATTATTTAGACTTTTTAACTTAAATCACCTTTAGGTACAACCACAGAATTTACTACACCACACGAAAATTATTGAAATCATTGGAAAAGATCACCAAGGTGCAAGTTGAAGACATCTCTAAAAGAACCTTCCAAGATCTCTTAATCAATACTTCCTCGGTTGGTGATATCATCTACGAAGGATTTCACGGTAAGACACGATAATTATATGGTTTGTGCAATAACACAAAACTTAACTAGACATTCCATCTATTTTCTATATCTATTGTCAATCACGATTCTCTTTTTATAACATTATGATAGCTAATTTACATACTTTCAGAAAATAACGTTGATTTACCGGAGAATACAACGTTTTTAAGATATTCAAATGGGTCAATGGTAGACGACTATGAAGTCCTCTTTGATGCGAATGGTTTCCTAATCTTAACTACGATAACCAATTATATTTGAAATTATCTGAATCTAATATAACAACATATCAAACATTTTACTAGAACTAAAACAAACAAGTTTTTTTTCACCGCTAAGGAAATGGGGTCAGCACCTTGAAAACTAGCTTTCTATAGAGTTAGTCGTCCCTCCCATTTGTTCATTCATCCATCCACTTGGAACGCGACGATTAAATGAAAATGAGAAATAATCGTCAAATCTGAGGATATTCCTAACTTCCATTAGGTCATTACGGCAAAAAAAGCGCCATCTGGACTTCCGGGGAAGATAATCCTACTTTTAAAGAATTCATGAGCGAAACTAAATCAGATATCATATCAGCAACACCCGATACATATTTTGAGTGCTCGCGTGATTGTTTTAAAGGTAAAATATGTTGAACTACGTAAGTTACGTTTTTCCTTTTCTTTCCTATATTATCACCATACATACTGCCATACCAGTAACAACAGAGCTTATAACTTAAAATCTTGATAGGGAGCAAACGAGTCCCGGCCAGCAATTTTCTTAACTGTTGGACCTGTGTTCCCTGTATTGGAAACACTTACACTGAGAATGGAAGCTGGCCTTCGTGTAAAAAATGTGAATCTAAAACGAAATTCTTGTGGGTGAACGAAGAGAAGACGGCTTGTGATCAGAAAGCCGGGAGCGTCAACTTCAATACAACTTCTGGCATAATTATTTGGATTATTGCATCGTTGAACATTGCAGTATTGATTTTCACCATTGGTAAGACTTGTTCGTCCAACTCCAAAAACTTTTCTAAAAGAAATAATAGTTTCATTGAAAAGGAATTGTCATCGGTAAAAATAATGAACACCATCAGGTCCAGCTTAACCAGTAAACATGACAATTTCAGTTATCTACATCAAATATTGGACATCCAGAGTGATAGTTTCTTCTGGAAAGGGAGCTGTGCTGCGTTATGTTTAGTGGAATCCTTATTGGGCACATTGAATCCCTGCTTATTGCTGTGGAACCAACTGGAACCATTTGCATCCTCATCCAGGTCCTTGCTCATTTCTTTATGATGCTGACCGTTTGTCCTTTATTGGTCAAAACATTCAGAATATGGTAAGCACACTTTTTCCCCCGATATTATTAATCCTTTCGTCAACAAATGATCCCAACAGCTATTGTTGAAAACCATTGTAGCACAATGTTCACTGTGCCAAGATTTCCATTGTTCCACAATGTTCATGTTATATTGCGCATAATGTTCATTGCGCCGCGCAGGATGGTATTCAAGTTCTCTATCAAAATGGGCAGAAAGATAAGAAACTACGTCAATGATTGGGTCACAATGGCAGAGTGTCTCATCCTAATGATCCCACAGTTGGTATTCTTACTTTTTGGTCTCCTCCTGGATGACTCCTTCAACTTTAAGTAAGCCCTTTCATCATCATTATATTTTCTCAAGCTTCATGAAATGCGAATACTTTTAACACATCAAGGATGAAGACCCGTTTTAATCTGATTCTACCCATTAAGGGGGCATACACCAAAACAGTGGTTTGTGCCGTCCAGACCAAATGACCTCATAGGCAGTTCAGTGACCTTCTAGCGCACCGTTTCCACACCAAAAAAAATTATTTTGAGAATTCCCATTTTTGTAATCGAGCATTTCCTGGTTGAGAGTGCAATTTTCGGAAAAAATTATTTTGTGGTTGAGACGCTATAAGTAAATAATTTCTTGCGGTATCGGGTTGAAATTTTGTTCGCCGTTTATTCACATCTATTTCAAGGTGTGTGTAAAATCTTGATATCGTATCTAAAAAGGCTGGTGTGTTATGAATTTTTAAAGTCAAAAAGCTAAAATTGTCCTTTTTAGGCTTAGTTTAACAAAAAGACAGTCAGGGAAGATCGGATTGATTTGATGCTTGACATCAAATTGTTCTCTGAATTCTGGCGCAGTTTTTGATGCCCTCAAAAACGTTTTTACTCATTCAGCTTCAGATCTATTGGACCTCAAAGCCAAACAACAAATTTAGGCACATTTTTCGGTTTTAATATTTACTGATTTTTCTAAAATTTTGATAGGAATGTGCTAGTGACTTTTTGAAGGGTGCAAAATAACCGCAACTAGCACATTTATATATAAGTTATGAACAACAAAACATCCTAAAATGCTTCCCTTTGAAGTTATGGGAGAAAATGTAATTTTTTATCTGCAAAGCCAAAAAATCACATTTTCTCCCATAACTTCAAAGGGAAGCATTTTAGGGTGTTTTGTTGTTCATAACTTATATATAAATGTGCTAGTTGCGGTTATTTTGCACCCTTCAAAACGTCACTAGCACATTCCTATCAAAATTTTAGAAAAAGCAGTAAATATTAAAACCGAAAAATGTGCCTAAATTTGTTGTTTGGCTTTGAGGTCCAATAGATCTGAAGCTGAATGAGTAAAAACGTTTTTGAGGGCATCAAAAACTGCGCCAGAATTCAGAGAACAATTTTATGTCAAGCATCAAATCAATCCGATCTTCCCTGACTGTCTTTTTGTTAAACTAAGCCTGAAAAGGACAATTTTAGCTTTTTGACTTTAAAAATTCATAACACACCAGCCTTTTTAGATACGATATCAAGATTTTACACACACCTTGAAATAGATGTGAATAAACGGCGAACAAAATTTCAACCCGATACCGCAAGAAATTATTTACTTATAGCGTCTCAACCACAAAATAATTTTTTCCGAAAATTGCACTCTCAACCAGGAAATGCTCGATTACAAAAATGGGAATTCTCAAAATAATTTTTGTTGGTATGGAAACGGTGCGCTAGAAGGTCACTGAACTGCCTATGAGGTCATTTGGTCTGGACAGATTTGGTGTATGCCCCCTTAAGGGGACATACACCAAAACCTTTTTTGCCGGGACCCGGGATTTGACTTCATCTTACTATATATAAAGCGAGACGATATATATATATATATCTGTGCCATTTTACTGACACCACGGCATCAACTTTAACGCAACTTTCCGCAAAAACCGTAAAAGATATACAACTGAAACTTTTTTGACTGGGTTAAATGCTTTAATGGCCTTCAAATCAGCATGAAAAAATAAAAAATTGGCCAAGGAATAATAATTTTAGTGCCCAAAATTTGGACTCCCAAGTGGTGTCAAAAACGCGAATTAAATAGGTAATAATTATTTTAGTCTCTCGAGTCTTGACACCACTTTAGGGTTAGACGGGTTCCTGCTAGTATTATGAAAGTATAGATTACAACTGTAAGATTTGAGGCATTGAAAAATTCTTTTGAGAGTACGCACATTCGAAAAAAAATTATTTTCTTTTTCGAAAGTTTTGGAAATTTTGAGAAGTCTGTCACTGTAATACCGATATTTCAGTCATTTTAAACGATTTTTGGCTGATTTGTTTATTGAACATTATTAACAATCCGTACAAGAAGCCCTGTAAAGGATTTTATAATTAAAGAATAGATGACGAAGTTACAGACCAAACAAGGTCGAGAGAAGCAAAATTGAAATTTTTGTAAAAATCAAAGTTGTATATTTTACCATTCACCTAGGTCATAAGATATCGCTTCAAAAATTCTTGTGAGTGTAGCTGATGATCATATCCAACTTTTTGGAACAGGATTTCTCTCAATTTTGAGTTTTAAGGTATGAAATGTGGCCTCAAACGACTTAGTAAAATTCATCGTAAAAAAGGGCCAAACATGGCAGATTTAAGGCTTAAAATGCCTATAACTCAAAAAGCATCAATTTTTTAAAAATAATTTTTACAGAATCGTAATCAGCTTGAGAAGACGAATCTTTTAGTACCAAATAGGTTATTTTAGAAGACAAATTGTCTTAAATAATTTTCCAGCTCGAACACAAGGGTCCCCCCTTGTATAAATTTTGTAAAAATTGTACACATTTTTTTACAAATTTTGTGTCTTTAACTATTATAAATTTGGTACTAAAAGATTCGTCTTCTCAAGCTGATTACGATTCTGTAAAAATTATTTCAAAAAAATTGATGCTTTTTGAGTTATAGGCATTTTAAGCCTTAAATCTGCCATGTTTGGCCCTTTTTTACGATGAATTTTACTAAGTCGTTTGAGGCCACATTTCATACCTTAAAACTCAAAATTGAGAGAAATCCTGTTCCAAAAAGTTGGATATGATCATCAGCTACACTCACAAGAATTTTTGAAGCGATATCTTATGACCTAGGTGAATGGTAAAATATACAACTTTGATTTTTACAAAAATTTCAATTTTGCTTCTCTCGACCTTGTTTGGTCTGTAACTTCGTCATCTATTCTTTAATTATAAAATCCTTTACAGGGCTTCTTGTACGGATTGTTAATAATGTTCAATAAACAAATCAGCCAAAAATCGTTTAAAATGACTGAAATATCGGTATTACAGTGACAGACTTCTCAAAATTTCCAAAACTTTCGAAAAAGAAAATAATTTTTTTTCGAATGTGCGTACTCTCAAAAGAATTTTTCAATGCCTCAAATCTTACAGTTGTAATCTATACTTTCATAATATGAAGTCAAATCCCGGGTCCCGGCAAAAAAGGTTTTGGTGTATGTCCCCTTAAATTGTTTAAAACCCAAGTTTAACAGCTTTACTTGAGATAATTAGATACGATGATAGTCTGTCTTTAAATTCCCTCTTCTCAGGTTTACCATTAATTACGTGGAGGAGTCACTGGAACACCCGATTAATGTCACCAAATCATGCGGTCCTCTCAGTTTCACAATGATGCTGATAAGCATTGTTTATGCTGGTGTCATGTTGTTGGTTTCCTCTATCTTGGGATGGGACTGTAGAAAGCTCCCCGATAATTTCAAGGTAGAAGGACACTCAGCATGATGTTAAACTAGTGAATTATAATGCATTATGTAGTGTGTAATAGTAAATTCCGAAGACTATATTATGCGTTGGTTAATGCTCATGCACGTCACATTGCACACCCTATACACTATACAGGAGTCGATGTATATATTTTTATCATCTCTGATATCTCTCCTGCTGATTGCTGTCTACGTTCCGGCAATGCTGACCATGGCTGGATTCACTCAGGTATTTGACTCACTGATCGGGGGGGGGGGGGTATAATTTTGACTCTGAGAATTTGACCATTTTCGCCGGAAATACTCAAAAATGTCTCAAAAATAGTGATATACCAAATCATTCTTCATATCAGTGCAATACTGCAATGTGGTCCAATTGATACTCATGACCCCCCCCCCCCTGATCACCATGTACATATGTGAGCCTTAAGAAATATAGTCGTCCTTGGTGACGGTTTTTATTAGTTTAATAGATTCACTGATGATTAATAAGTTTTAAAAATGACTTAATTTTGCAGAGAATACTTAATTAACGATCTTATCTCAGGTTTCTTTACTAGCTGGAGTAATTTCAATAATCTCGGTGACGCTGAACCTTGTGATCTTCATGCCGAAAATATTTGTAGTGTTGTTTGTTCCACCTCTCAAGCAGAAAGAAATGTTCAAGATAACCCAGAAGTCATCAGGTTCTACGCACAGTCAAGGGGCTGGAGAGTCCAGAATTCAAAACAAAGGCGAAGTTGGTGTTTAACTTGAGAGAGTCTATAACGTGACGTGTTACGTGCCGTCTAGCTAGCGTCTTATACTTCATAGTTACATTTGAACTTATGTTTTTTATTTAACTTTATTTCATTTAGCTGAACTATCGCGAAACTGCAATTTGTGTATTTTAATTTATATACGTTACAAGCTACCAGTTCCGTCGAAACTGACTGATATGTAGTTCTTATCTTTCTATCACAAACTATACTGATTACTGAATAGCACACGATCAGGCACATTTGTTACATAACCTGGCTGGTTGCCAAAACCAGTGGTGCATAGTGCCTACTACATTACTAAACGAGAAGACTTGAAGTTATTCGTAACGTAGCTCTCGGCTCTAGGTGTCATAAAAGTTGGAAACTATGTCATTTGTTGAAATGATTTAAAAATATATAATATGTATATTGGCTCTGGAAAAATCGATTATAAGTTTGAGCTTTGTACTTTGTATTAAAAACATTTAATTATAATGCCGACAGTAAAATGTTACAAAGTTTTGTTTGTTAAGAAATTGGATATCTTCCTCATGCTTCGCATAAGAACGTTTGTTAGGTTCAAGTTTAAGTTTATAATCCCTGCATACTGGAATCCTTTCTTAACAATTTAAGCGCTAAAACCAGCCTCCGATTGCTAAGATTTGTGATATTTTGGACTCTGTTTTCAAGCTATGACGAGAGTCCACAATTGTTCCTGGATACCGATTACTATAATACAGCAACTTTAAAACTGCACGTGCATTTATTTGGCAAGAAGCCACATTCCTCTTGATAGATAAACTTCAAAACTGCACGTGCATTTTGAACTGGCAGAGAGCCAGGATAATCCCTATAAAAGGATAGCCACTACACGTGGATTTAAGCTTTTGCTATTACCACGTCTTTAAAAATATATACAACGAAATGATGTTACAAGAAGATACATTTATCATCCTAGGAGCAGCAGCCTTTGTGCTGCTGCTTCTAGGAGGGCTATATGGACACATGATCTTTCTGGCCAAGAAATTGGAGAAAAAGATGGACAGTATAGACGAGTCCGTAAGGAATTGCATTCATGTCCTGGATCGCGGGCTCCAGGACATGAATTTCCTCCCTCAAGATAAGGAGCCGAGGGACCACCCAAGCCCACCAAAGACCCCGGACCATGTGTCGATTACCATTGAGGAAGACCTTGTTCCCAACCTTCCAATCGGCATATGGTCCGGCTGGAGCCCTCCTACGACACCCCGGAGTATGGAAACTACACCCAGCTCTGGGGACAGTTTTATTACTGTGATAAGGGCTCCAGGATTCCCAGGTTCACCACGATCAGTGGTGAGCCTGGAGGGCTTTTGGAATATGACCAATAGGACAGAAGAAGAGTCCTCAGAAGAAGAAGTCCTCTTCCCCGTGTAAGAGAAAAAAAGAAGGACTTACTATTTCTGTCTCTATGTAAATTTCTACAAGTAATTGTTTTATTTCAAATCTCACTAATTTGAAGCTCAATCATCTGAATTTTTAAAATAAATAAATTCATAACCAAATTTTTTCAAAAAATCAAACATTCAACAAATCACAAGCAATAATAATACGATGGAACTATTGGACATTAAATTACAGGAATATCTGCCACAAGGGAAAACAATCCTGTGATCTTGAGTCTTGACCTGTTTTACTCTATACCACTGATCTTATTTCAGATTACAGAAATCGAGTTAACGGATGTGTGAAGACAAAACCATTACAATTTTTAAATCCGCTAGTGTTTCAGTGTTTGCATTAGAATCCAGGTGAGGGATGAGGTTTCGTCCCAGAGATAAAATGATCTTTGTTAGAAAAGTGCTGGATTCATCATATCTTAATCCTGCCGTTAATCGATTCAGAGTGATATTTCCTTAAGAAGTAGGTAGGCTATACGAGTGTGATTATTACCCGTTTCCATCTAAGATCTGTCAGATACATTGACACGTTGAATTTTGTTTATCGGACACATCGTGAATTTTGATTCTACAAATCTAGATTTTTCAATTAACGCACGCGCGTTACCGCTATGTTGAAAAAAAAACTTTTAATACGTCTGCGGTAATCGCGGCTGCGGAGAAATATGCATTCTAATGATTTCTAGCAACTTTCTGAAAGATGGGTTTTCTTCGCCGGCTAATTTTGTCCGGTTGATAATAGTTGGTGGTCTTCTGCACCGGTTCCGCCTCGAAATGGTGAAAAAACTAGGCATGCAAACTGCAATTCGAAGGTGATCGCAGTCATAACTTAATTTGTACGTCTAACGCTTTTCGGCAGTTACTGAAACCGAAGAAACATCGACAATTAGCGATATCATACACGATAGTAGCCGTACTTCAGAACTGCACGTGCATTCTAACTTGGCAGGTAACTAAGCAATAGCCTACAAAAATATGTAAATACACGTGCATCTTTATTTCAACACAACAACAACTTGAAAAAGCCTTATTGCTACTGCTCCTAGGAGAGCTTTATGCCCACATAAAAGAAATTGCAGAAAAAAGTGGACAGTATAGAAGAATCCCTAAGGAATTGCATTCATGTCCTGGATCACAGGTTCCAGGACATGAATTCCTCCCTCAAGATAAGGAGCCGAGGGACCACCCCAAGCCCACCAAAGATCCCGGACCATGTGTCGATTACCATTGAGGAAGACCTTGTTCCCAACCTTCCAATCGGCATATGGTCCGGCTGGAGCCCTCCTACGACACCCCGGAGTATGGAAACTACGCCCAGCTCTGGGGACAGTTTCATTACTGTGATACGGGCTCCAGGATTCCCAGGTTCACCAAGATCAGTGGTGAGCCTGGAGGGCTTTTGGAATATGACCACAAGGACAGAAGAAGAGTCCTCAGTCCTGGAGTATGGAGTATGGAAACTACGCCCAGCTATGTGGACAGTTTTATTACTGTGATCCGGGCTCCAGGAGGAGCAGCAGCCTTTGTGCTGCTGCTTCTAGGAGGGCTATATGCCCACATGATATTTCTGGCAAAGAAATTGGAGAAACAGATGGACAGTATAGAAGAATCCCTAAGAAATTGCATACATGTCCTGGATCACAGGCTCCAGGACATGATTAACCTCCTCGAGATAAGGAGCCGAGGGACCAACCCAAGCCAACCAAAGAGCCTGGACCATGTGTCGATTAACTTTGGGAATGACCTGCACGAGCAGCTTAGCTTTTGCTACAACAACTACTACTACAGCTACTATTACTAAAACATTATCATCAGAAACCAAGAAATGCTCCCCTCCTTCAGGACATGGCGAACCAACTCAAAGTAACTCAAAGTAAATTACACCAAATCCACACAAAATGCGCTCACTGGATGGCACTATCGATCAATTCATTCAGCGCCAAACAAAGATCTTAGAAAGGAGTCCAGTAAATAAACCAACGACCCCAGCGGCCCCAATAACTCCAAGGACCCCGGACCATGTGTCGATTGACATGTCACTCACATTGCATGGGGGACGACCTTGTGACCTTGTCCCGGATCTTCCAATCGGTACATGGTCAGGCCCTCCAACAACGACTAGAAGTGGAGCCCCAGAAGCACAAACTAGTAGCTCCCATAGAGGTTTCATCACCGTCATAAGAGCCCCAGAAGTCTGTGGTGAGCCTAGAGGGCTTCTGGGATCTTACCATTTGTAAAACAGGGCCTGACTGCAGTCAATAAATGGAGAAGATACGACGAAAAACTCCGGAGGATTATCATGAGATATCCTACAAGCAGTAGCCCTAGTGCTACTGCTCCAAGGAGGGCTTTATGCCAACATTCTAACATCGGTAACTATCCAGAAGGACATAAAAGACTTAGAAAAAACGATAGGAAAGTTCAGTCATGTCATGGAGCTGGAGCTCTGGCGACTGGAGGACAAGATGAAACCCCGGACCATGTGTCGAACTGCTTGACGGAGCAGCTACAAGACTTTCATCTACAGAGCATCTTAAAAAACAAACCCAATAAAGAAACCAACGACGCCAACGGCCCCAATGACTCTAAGGACACCAAGGACCCCGGACGATGTGTCGATTAACATTGAGGACGACTTTGTTCCCAACCTTCTGGTGAGCTTGGAGGGCTTCTGGGGTCTCACCATTGAGCCCTCCAACGACACCTCGGAGTATGGAAACAACGCTCAGCTCTGGAGACAGCTTTATTACTGTTATACGGCTGCAGCTCTCCTAGGACTGGAAATATCTCAACCACAGATGACAGCATAATCACAGTGATTAGCCCAAGAAGTCCCCAGCTCAACAGATCAATAAGGAAACTGGAGGACAAGAGAAAACACCGAACCATGTGTCGAACTGCTCACGATATTCTTAATAACATTTATTTTTAAAATGGTGTTTTCTTTCTCCGTTATAGTAAATAGAATTTCAAAAACCCAAAACTTTAGACAAACCTCAGAAATATCCTGATTATCAACAGTAATAAGACCAGAGTTGATATCGTAGAATCTGAACAGTAGTTTCATTATCGTGGACTTGCCGTGGCCAGAAGGTCCAACTATCGCCACCGACTTACCACTCTCAACCTGGAAATGTTAACATGATTGAGTATGTAAAATGTGGCCAAAGTACACGCGAAGAAAAGTCATAAAAATCATCGTAATTTCTTGACGTATTGCATTCAATTTATGAAGGCTGTGAAGCTGTAACTGAAACTCACAGTAAAGGAAATGTTGTTGAGGACCTCCTTGTCCTCTCTGTATTTGAAAGTGACGTCATCAAAACAAATTCTACCCGCAGTGACCTGAGATGTTGTTGTTGAATAAAGAGGATTAAAAGATTTAAAAGCACTTTGAATAATGTCAATACTTATCAAAAATTTATAGATAAATTCTAGCAATGAAAAGATAAGATAAATTAAAATTGAGAATTTTATTAACATTGATTTCAGGAGCATCAGGTTGATCGGAGACATCTTTGGGTTGGTCCAGTAGCTCGAACATATTCTCCATATCAATGAAGTTGTTCTGTATCATTCGGTAGTAGGTCCCGAACCAGTTCAAGGGGAGGTACAGTTGTCTGATATACGATACGAACAGTACAAAATCTCCTGAACAATTTAATTTTTAGAGCTGGCTAATTAACTTAACTACAGCGTCCAAACGTCATCTTTCCCCTCAATAGTCAACCTTACTGATCAAACAGCGTATATGGGATGTGATACCAAAATTGATCCCAAATTAAGCCAAAAGCCCAAAAATGTTAGCTATTCTTTAACAAACACGATTGATATCAAAATCAACATTTTTGCTCAACACTTCAGTTATAGAACCCAGAGGGAAGGACCTGGGATATCAAGAAAACATACCAACAGAGAGTCTACCAGCGTGAACATCGTAAACAATAAGAATGCAGCCTCCCAGAGTTCCTACACTGATAATCATGTTTTGTACCAGGTTCAGGAGGTTTAGTGTAGAGACTGCCATGTACTGAGCTGTTAGGTATTCTCCTAGGGACTTCGCATACCTGACATAGTTTAGTTAAAGTGGCATGATAACTGGTATTGAATTTAAGATAAAATTATGCGTCATTGAATAGAGATTAGAGATTGATAAAAAATCTGATTCATTAATCGGATCGGGCGAAATCAAAATCATGAAAAAGGAAATAACAAACACTGCAATCTATAAAGTTTATTTGAGGATGTTTTGCACCACCAACATAATATAACAGTGTATACAACAGCAAATGGGCATTACAAATAAATTCACCTGTTAGACTCGAAGTCTTCAGCTCCGTAGTATTTGACAGTTTCAAAGTTGAGGAGCGTATCCACTGCTTTAGCTTTCACTTCATTATCACATTGGTTCATTGTACGTCGAAACTGGGTTCTCCATTCCGTCAGAACTATTGTGGCAACTGCGGAACAATAAATGGTTTACTTCCTCATTTGCCAACCAGATTGTATTTGTTTCATTTAAAGATTCAATGATATAAACGTACCGCAAGATGCAAATCAATAATTTATTAAGTTGATATAAAACGGACCGGAGTAAACCAACTTACCCATGTAAAGAGACATTGTAACGAAGATGATGAGTCCATACCAGATGTTAAAAGCAATGATAAAGTACACAATAGCGATCATAAGATCTATAATACAGGGTCCAATACTGAACAGGATATAACTGAGGAGAGTTATTATTTTATTAGGAGAAATGTTGGGAACTGTTGTGAAATTAGATTGAGTTAGATAACACGTGCAGTAATAGTAATTTGAGCTGCTGATATTATAGTATTATGCAGTAGTAATTGTGATCTCTTACTTAAACCAGTAGTAAAGGAGTGTGGACAGTAACTATTTATATCGATTGAAAAAACGCAAAGGATCCTGCAGGATTCCTGCTATATATTGAAAAACTCTTCTAGTATTATAGATGAACTAGATGACTTATTTTACTGGGCTTACAGTTCAGCCTCATCAAACACCGTCCAACATGGTCACTCTCTCACTATTGCCACTAATGGCATATTTAGTGAACATTACATAACATCCCATGTTGGAATGCTGTCTGCAAGCATACTTACTCCTCAGCTGCACTGGGCTAATAAACTGTTTCTGAACCTATAGCCCTGATTTCAAAATGTATCTAAACTTTAGCTGTTGCAGTCTGATTTTATTAATTCAACTTTTTTAGTAATATTCGAGACAAGAGAAACGCCATCTTAGGACGAGAGGAGAGTAAGGACTCCTCGGACTACATTAAATCAATTCTTATTGTAACGTCCTCAAGAAATGTATTTAATTGTAGTTGTGGACATAGCTTTAAACTCATACTAACTCAACTAATATACATTGTGCATTGTACATTGTACATTGTACATTGTACAGTGCACTTACTTTAGTAAGTTGGTGATAGCACTGCTGGATCTGTCCACTATTCTTATCACCTCCCCTGTTTTCCGACCCAGATGCCAGGCAATTGATAACCTGTAATACGTGTGGTTAGTGGTGACTACATGTTAAATTCATTGCTTAACTGTTAAGATTTTACTAAAAAATTTAGAAAATTATAAATTTAGAAAAATTTAGTTTTTCCAGGTTAAGAGGGAAAAAGTGACTCAAAAGTCAAAAGTATGATACGAATTAACTGTTTCACAATATAAATAAAACTGCACACTTACTCCTGAATATGTCTGAAGAGCTGACAGTTAACCTCCTTATTAGTGTACTGCGTAATACTTAACCACAGTTGACTGCGAGTAGAGCCTAGCAGCCCGCTGTTACCCATACCTGAACATACCACATTTTACATACCTGCACATACCACATGTTACATACCTGAACATACCACATGTTACATACCTGAACATACCACAGGTTACATACCTGAACATACCACATGTTACATACCTAAGCATACCGCATGTTACATACCTGAACATACCACATGTTACATATCTAAGCATACCGCATGCTACATACCTGAACATACCACATGTTACACACCTGAACATACACAATACATGTAATGTGCATTTAAGGTTCAGCGCTGTAATTCTACTTATCACAGGTTCAGTTAATTAGAAATTTGAGAACCACACACACACAGTACACAAAACATCTGGCCCAATAGAGTTAAGAGCCACACTTCTACAGTGTGCTGTGTTTTAACAAAATCAATAATGAAATTTAATAAGATTTAAACGTGATTATATTTTCTAGAGTAAGTAGGTCATAAATATATTGTAATAATATGTTGTAGCCGTGTATTAATTAAATGATCTTGCATTAAAGTATTAAATGTTTTCTGATCAGAAAACATTGAATATATAACATTGTATAATACATGATATTGATAACATTATTTATTGCTATATCGGATCTGATGCTGCAGATTCTCAGAATATAAGAGAGGCTATATTTCAGACTAAAACGAAGTATCAAATTTATTTAATTAATAAATGTATAGTAATTTAAGTATGTTAATAAATTTAATAACGTTAGGTTGGCAGATTGCAGCAGCTGTTATTTTGACAGATGTAAGAGAGTAAGATAAAATAGCAGTGAAGTTACGCAGGTAACATACGTAAATCCTTACGATTGTATAAGACAGTAAAATGTACCAGCTCTTAGTGCGTCAGTTTTATACAATCACCACTGTTAGTTGGATTATAGTGTACACTGTTAGTTGGATTATAGTGTACTTACCAGTGCCCTGAGCAGCGCAAACCAAGCAGTAGAGACAGATAGTCTTGAGGGCTAAATTTCCGGTTGACAACTCGTTCACTGGGAGGTAAAGGAGTCAGTGCCTAACAAACGTAGGCACTGCCTTAAGGAATTAATAAGTACATTATAACATTATAAGGTAATAAAAGTTGATAATACCAAGGCGGCACCTGCAAAGTACAAGTAATTTTAGCCATTTAACCTACCAGCATCTCTGTATAACAGAGGAAGGAGCACGTTTATAGCACGTCCAGCCGCCAGTAGTGCAATACATATTAGTACAAACATCTGCAACATTCTGAAGAGCGAGAGAGTAGTTATTTTACTTCTAAAGGCTTACCCGGAGTGATAGTCCACACCGTGGCTCCATAATATTTAATAACATTATGAAGAATTTGTTTAATTCTAGATAAAAAGATCGAATATGAAGTATGAACCATTGAACCATGTTTTAATAATTAATCCCAAAGTTCAAGAATACCAATTATGTACTATTTTAACTAACAAGGATCCTTTAGGCCAGACGAAAGGGAAAAGTTTGATGACTTTAACGAAGAAGTTAGACCAGGTAGATGAGGAGGTGATGTCAGGACGAGGTCCACCAGGAAGCCGGGGGTTTGTCTGTCCCTGCAACAGTTTGTTAAGAGTCCCTGGTAAAAGAGTACATTATTCTGTGTAGTGCTTGTTGGGTACACTTGATGTGGTGCTGACCACCGCATATATAATATTATAGTGTATGTAAACATGGCACACTAGACAAGGGGAATCAGTCACGAGGGCGTCAGGGCGGAAGTACATACTCTGGGGATAGGGACATACTCTCTAGAATATGTAAACATACCTTATTTTAGTGTGGTTAAAATGATTTCAGAATAATTTACATGCTATTGTAAATCGAGGGTTTTTTGAGAAAAAGGAAAATGGAACGGTAATTCGGGGTGCACATTAAATCGGAGTTTTATTTTTGAGTCACAGTCAAATCGCATGGTTTCTCTTTTCACAGTTGTGGTTCTCAATAATGAGTTGTGGTTGACAAGAACTCGATCAGGGTAGATAGGGCCAGGGTATTTAACGAGCCTGGCAGGCCATGAAGTCATGGTTATGGGGGAAATGGAATAGGTACGGCAAATCGAGATTTAAGCTTTTAAGGTAAATCAGAGTTTACTGTGCAGAATACTGAAGAGTATATGCTAGAATGATGTGCTTTTTTGGAAAATCACTGACACGATTAGAGGCTCTTTTGGGATTTAAAGCGTCTAGTATTTACTAATTCAATATTCCTATTTTTAATATCGAGATTGGAAACCTCAAACTGAGTGCCTGATAGTACGAGAATACGGTAATGGCATACCTCAACATGAGAATGAGAGCCTCCAAATAAGGACCTCCAGAAAGCGGGGGAAGTCTGTCCAATATTCATTATTACTCATCAATCTCAAATCCATGTTCATATCACACTCAACCCAATTAGAGGCAACATATAGGTGGCAGGTGCGGTAATATTTAGCAAAAAATGCGATTCCGCACCTGCCTTGATTTTTATGTGCGGCACATTCGGAGACAAAAACACCGCAATTAAACTTGAGAACAATTCGCCAAATTTTCAGCCTTTAGGTACTATCAAGTTGAATTATTTGACAGCGTAGTATACTTATATTTAAACGTTATAACGTTCAGTGGTCGACCGGGGACGGGATTTTAACCGGGGCCGGGGATTCCCAATCTAGCCGGGGTTGGCCATTGACATTTGGCCGGGACCGGGATATCTTCCATTTTGCTGGGGCAGGGGCCGGGGGTGGCTTACAATTCTGAAGTCAGAAATTGAAGCATAAATTTTATAATAATTTTCGAATTTTATAATAATTTTGGGCAAGTTTCCATAAACGATATTTTATGATCGGCGCCGATAATCGCTTATTGAGCGCTTTTTCGGCGCTTTTTAAAAAAAAACCGTTTACAATCGCTTTTTTTACGATTATAAACGGTTCAAAAAAAAATCGCTTATAATCGACTATAATTGATGTCATAATTCAAAAAAGCGCTTTTTTTAATTTAAAAGCGCTTATAAGCGCTTTTAAGCGCTTACTAGCGTCGCTGAGCGATTTGAAAGCGGTTTTCCAGTATGATTGGCGCCAAAAACGGGTGGATAAGCGGTTGGCCGGATAAGCGATTCGTAGGCGCTTTTTTGAACCATTTATAAGTGATTATAAGCGCTTATAATTGGGGTGCAATTTAGCTGTTTGTAAAGCGCAAATAAAGCGCTTATAAGCGCTTTTAAAATTGAGTCAGGAAAACGCTATATTACATCTTATAACCGCTTATAATCGATTATAAGCGTTTTTTAAGAAATCGCTTATTACGGCTAATTCATCGCTATTACCGCTTTTCCTATCATCCATGGCCAGGTGAGCAGGAATTAAAAAGCGCTTATAAGCGCTTTTTCGATGCTGCCCCTAGCCTGGTCGGAACGGGGTAGTGCCCGGAATTTAAAAGCGCTTATAAGCGATTTCTCAATTCCCCTTAACCTGGTTGGAACTTTCATGTGCTTTTCTGAGCAACCTGGGGTGCACCGGCAGAGTCAGGATTTAAAAACGCTTATAGGCGCTTATGATCGCTTTTCTACCACTTTTCCTATCACCCATGGCATGGGTTGGCAAGAATTATAAAGCGCTTATAAGCGTTTTTCAATGCTGCCCCTTAGCTGGTCGGAACGGGGGAGTGCCCGGAATTTAAAAGCGCTTATAAGCGCTTTTTCAATGCCGCCCCTAACCTGGTCGGAACGGGGTGGTGCCCGGAATTTAAAAGCGCTTATAAGCGATTTCTCAATTCCCCTTAACCTGGTCGGAACTGGAGAGTGCCCACTTGCATGTGCTTTTCTGAGCAACCTGGGGTGCACCGGCAGAGTCAGGATTTAAAAGCGCTTATGATCGCTTTTCTACCGCTTTTCCTATCACCCATGGCCTGGTTGACAAGAATTAGAAAGCGCTTATAAGCGCTTTTAAATCCTGACTCTGCCGGTGCACCCCACTCCCCAGGTTGCACAGAAAAGCACTTATAAGCGGGCACTCTGATTTCTAGTTCCGACCAGGTTAAGGGGAATTGAGAAATCGCTTATAAGCGCTTATTAATTCCAGGCACTCCCCCGTTCCGACCAGGTTAGGGGCAGCATTGAAAAAACGCTTATAAGCGCTTTATAATTCTTGCCAACCAGGCCATGGGTGATGGGAAAAGCGGTAGAAAAGCGATCATAAGCGCTTTTTAATCCTGACTCTGCCGGTGCACCCCAGGTTGCTCAGAAAAGCACATGAAAGTTCCAATATAGGGGGGGGGTGACATGTCTCCAATGTCTCCCGCACCTTATCTTTTCGAAAAAGACAAAGACATTGGAGACATTGGAGACACAGCTTTTGGAGACATTGGAGACATTGGGGACATTAGGGACATTAGAGACACAGCTTTTGGAGACATTGGAGACATTGGAGACATTGGGGACATTGGAGACACAGCTTTTGGAGACATTGGAGACATTGGGGACATTGGGGACATTAGGGACATTAGAGACACAGCTTTTGGAGACATTGGAGACATTGGGGACATTGGGGACATTGGAGACATTGGGGACATTAGGGACATAAAATGGATATTAGGAGCATTGGAGACATTGGAGACACAGCTTTTGGAGACTCCTCCTCCTCCTCCTCCTCCTCCTCCTCAGTCCTCCTCAGTCGTTCTCCTCCTCCTCCTGAGTCCTCCTCCTGGGACCTGGGTCCTCCTCCTGACCTCCTGGGTCCTCCTTCTCCTGGGTCCTCCTCCTCCTCTTCATCCTCCTCCTCTTCCTCCTCAATCATCAGTCCTCCTTAATCCTCCTCCTCATCCTTCTCGTCTGTCCTCCTCCTCCTCAGTCCTCCCCAAGTCCCCCTCCTCCTCAGTCCTCCCCCAGTCCCCCTCCTCCTATTCAATCCTCCTCCTCCTCCTCCTCAGTTCTCCTCAGTCCTACTCCTTCTCAGTCCTCCTCCTGAGTCCTCCTCCTGAGTCCTCCTCCTGAATCCTCCTCCTCTTCCTGAGTCCTCCTCCTCCTAGGTCCTCCTCCTTCTCCTCCTCCTCCTCCTCAGTCCTTCTCCTCCTCCTCCTCCTCCTCCTCCCTCTCAGTCATCCTCCTCAGTCATCCTCCTCAGCCATCCTCCTCAGCCATCCTCCTCAGCCATCCTCCTCAGCCATCCTCCTCAGCCATCCTCCTCAGCAATCTTCCTCAGCCATCATCCTCAGTACTCCTCAGTCCTCCTCCTCAGTCCTCATCCTCCTCCTCAGTCCTCCTCCTCATCCTTCTCCTTAGTCCTCCTCCTCCTCAGGCCTCCCCAGTCCCCTCCTCCTCCTATTCACTCCTCCTCCTCCTCCTCAGTTTTCCTGAGTCCTCCTCCTGAGTCCTCCTCCTCCTCCTGAGTCCTCCTCCTGGGTCCTCCTCCTCCTAGGTCCTCCTCCTTCTCCTCCTCAGTCCTTCTCCTCCTCCTCCTCAGTCCTCCTCCTCCTCCCTGTCAGTCATCCTCCTCAGCCATCCTCCTCAGTCCTCCTCAGTCCTCCTCCTCCTCCTCAGTCCTCATCCTCAGTCCTCCTCTTCAGTCCTCCTCCTCCTGGGTCCTCTTCATCCTCCTCCTCTTCCTCCTCAGTCCTCCTCCTCATCCTTCTCATCAGTCCTCCTCCTCCTCAGTCCTCCCCAGTCCCCCTCCTCCTCCTCCTCATATTCAGTCTTCCTCCTCCTCCTATTCAGTCCTCCTCCTTCTCATTCCTCCTAAGTCCTCCTCCCTGAGTCCTCCTCCTCTTCCTCCTGAGTCCTCCTCCTGGTTCATCCTCCACCTAGTTCCTCCACCTTCTCCTTCTCCTCCTCAGTCCTTCTCATCCTGCTCCTCCTCCTCAGTCATCCTCTTCAGTACTCCTCAGTCCTCCTCCTTCTCAGTCTTCCTCAGTCCTCTTCCTGAGTTCTCCTCCTCCTCCTGAGTCCTCCTTCTGGGTCCTCCTCCTGATCCTCCTAGGTCCTCCTCCTTCTCCTCAGTCCTACTCCTCCTCCTTAGTCCTCTTCCTCCTCCTCCTCCCTCTCAGTCATCCTCCTCAGCCATTCTCCTCAGCTATCCTCCTCAGTCTTCCTCAGTCCTCATCCTCCTCCTCAGTCCTCCTCCTCCTCCTCAGTCCTCCTCCTCCTGAGTCTTCCTCCTCTTCATCCTCCTCAGTCCTCAGTCCTCCTCCTCATCCTTCTCGTCAGTCTTCTTCATCCTCAGTCCTCCCCAGTCCCCCTCCTCCTCCTCCTCCTATTCAGTCCTCCTCCTCCTCATTTCTCCTCAGTCCTCATCCTTTTCAGTCCTCATGAGTCCTCCTCCTCCTCTTCCTCCTGAGTCCTCCTCCTGGGTCCTCATCCTCCTAGGTCCTCCTCCTTCTCCTTCTCCTCAGTCCTTCTTCTCCTCCTCCTCCCTCTCAGTCATCCTCCTCAGTCATCCTATTCAGCCATCCTCCTCAGTACTCCTCAGTCCTCCTCCTTCTCTGTCCTCCTCAGTCCTCTTCCTGAGTCCTCCTCCTAGGTCTTCCTCCTCTTCATCCTCCTCAGTCCTCAGTCCTCCTCCTCAGTCCTCCTCCTTCTCAGTCCTCCTCCTGAGTCCTCCTCCTGAGTCCTCCTCCTGAATCCTCCTCCTCTTCCTGAGTCCTCCTCCTAGGTCCTCCTCCTTCTCCTCCTCCTCCTCCTCAGTCCTTCTCCTCCTCCCTCTCAGTCATCCTCCTCAGTCATCCTCCTCAGCCATCCTCCTCAGCCATCCTCCTCAGCCATCCTCCTCAGCCATCCTCCTCAGCAATCCTCCTCAGCCATCATCCTCAGTACTCCTCAGTCCTCCTCCTCAGTCCTCATCCTCCTCCTCAGTCCTCCTCCTCATCCTTCTCCTTAGTCCTCCTCCTCCTCAGTCCTCCCCAGTCCCCCTCCTCCTCCTATTCACTCCTCCTCCTCCTCCTCAGTTTTCCTGAGTCCTCCTCCTGGGTCCTCCTCCTCCTAGGTCCTCCTCCTTCTCCTCCTCAGTCCTTCTCCTCCTCCTCCTCAGTCCTCCTCCTCCTCCCTGTCAGTCATCCTCCTCAGCCATCCTCCTCAGTCCTCCTCAGTCCTCCTCCTCCTCCTCAGTCCTCATCCTCAGTCCTCCTCTTCAGTCCTCCTCCTCCTGGGTCCTCTTCATCCTCCTCCTCTTCCTCCTCAGTCCTCCTCCTCATCCTTCTCATCAGTCCTCCTCCTCCTCAGTCCTCCCCAGTCCCCCTCCTCCTCCTCCTCCTCATATTCAGTCTTCCTCCTCCTCCTATTCAGTCCTCCTCCTTCTCATTCCTCCTAAGTCCTCCTCCCTGAGTCCTCCTCCTCTTCCTCCTGAGTCCTCCTCCTAGTTCCTCCACCTTCTCCTTCTCCTCCTCAGTGATTCTCATCCTGCTCCTCCTCCTCAGTCATCCTCTTCAGTACTCCTCAGTCCTCCTCCTTCTCAGTCTTCCTCAGTCTTCTTCCTGAGTTCTCCTCCTCCTCCTGAGTCCTCCTTCTGGGTCCTCCTCCTGATCCTCCTAGGTCCTCCTCCTTCTCCTCCTCAGTCCTACTCCTCCTCCTCAGTCCTCTTCCTCCTCCTCCTCCCTCTCAGTCATCCTCCTCAGCCATTCTCCTCAGCTATCCTCCTCAGTCCTCCTCAGTCCTCATCCTCCTCCTCAGTCCTCCTCCTCCTGAGTCTTCCTCCTCTTCATCCTCCTCAGTCCTCAGTCCTCCTCCTCATCCTTCTCGTCAGTCTTCTTCATCCTCAGTCCTCCCCAGTCCCCCTCCTCCTCCTCCTCCTATTCAGTCCTCCTCCTCCTCATTTCTCCTCAGTCCTCATCCTTTTCAGTCCTCATGAGTCCTCCTCCTCCTCTTCCTCCTGAGTCCTCCTCCTGGGTCCTCATCCTCCTAGGTCCTCCTCCTTCTCCTTCTCCTCAGTCCTTCTTCTCCTCCTCCTCCCTCTCAGTCATCCTCCTCAGTCATCCTATTCAGCCATCCTCCTCAGTACTCCTCAGTCCTCCTCCTTCTCTGTCCTCCTCAGTCCTCTTCCTGAGTCCTCCTCCTAGGTCTTCCTCCTCTTCATCCTCCTCAGTCCTCAGTCTTCCTCCTCAGTCCTCCTCCTCATCCTTCTCATCAGTCCTCCTCCTCCTCAGTCCTCCCCAGTCCCCCTCCTCCTCCTCATATTCAGTCTTCCTCCTCCTCCTATTCAGTCCTCCTCCTTCTCATTCCTCCTAAGTCCTCCTCCCTGAGTCCTCCTCCTCTTCCTCCTGAGTCCTCCTCCTGGGTCCTCATCCTCCTAGGTCTTCCTCCTTCTCCTTCTCCTCAGTCCTTCTTCTCCTCCTCCTCCCTATCAGTCATCCTCCTCAGCCATCCTCCTCAGTACTCCTCAGTTTTCCTCCTTCTCTGTCCTCCTCAGTCCTCTTCCTGAGTCCTCCTCCTCCTCCTGAGTCCTCCTCCTGGGTCCTCCTCCTCTTGGGTCCTCCTCCTCCTAGGTCCTCCTCCTCAGTCATCCTCCTCAGCCATCCTCCACAGCCATCCTCCACGGCCATCCTCCTCAGCCATCCTCCTCAGCCATCCTCCTCAGTACTCCTCAGTCCTCCTCCTTCTCGGTCCTCTTCCTGAGTCCTCATCCAGCATCCTCCTCCTTCTCCTCCTAAGTCCTCCTCCTGGGTCATCCTCCTCCTAGATCCTCCTCCTTCTCCAATCATACATCTACGTCTCCAGTGTCTCCAATGTCTCCAATGTCTCCAAAAGCTTTGTCTCCAATGTCTCCAATGTCCCCAATGTCTCCAATGTCTCCAATGTCTCCAAAAGCTGTGTCTTCAATGTCTCCAATGTCTCCAATGTCTCCAGGACATGTCTCTGCACCCTATTTTTTCAAAAAAGACAAAAGACATTGGAGACATTGGAGACATTGGAGACATGTCACCCCCCTCCCCCCCCCCCCCCCCCCCCCTTATAAGCGGGCACTCTGATTTCCAGTTCCGACCAGGTTAGGGGCAGCATTTAAAAAGCGCTTATGAGCGCTTTTTTATTCCGGGCACTCCCCCGTTCCGACCAGGTAAGGGGCAGCATTGTAAAACGCTTATAAGCGCTTTATAATTCTTGCCAACCCATGCCATGGGTGATAGGAAAAGTGGTAGAAAAGCGATCATAAGCGCCTATAAGCGCTTTTAAATCCTGACTCTGCCGGTGCACCCCAGGTTGCTCAGAAAAGCACATGAAAGTTCCAACCAGGTTAAGGGGAATTGAGAAATCGCTTATAAGCGCTTTTAAATTCCGGGCACTACCCCGTTCCGACCAGGCTAGGGGCAGCATCGAAAAAGCGCTTATAAGCGCTTTTTAATTCCTGCTCACCTGGCCATGGATGATAGGAAAAGCGGTAAAAGCGGTGAAATAGCGATGAATTAGCCGTAATAAGCGATTTCTTAAAAAACGCTTATAATCGATTATAAGCGGTTATAAGATGTAATATAGCTTTTTCCTGACTCAATTTTAAAAGCGCTTATAAGCGCTTTATTTGCGCTTTACAAACAGCTAAATTGCACCCCAATTATAAGCGCTTATAATCGCTTATAAATGGTTCAAAAAAGCGCCTACGAATCGCTTATCCGGCCAACCGCTTATCCACCCGTTTTTGGCGCCAATCCTACTGGAAAACCGCTTTCAAATCGCTCAGCGACGCTAGTAAGCGCTTAAAAGCGCTTATAAGCGCTTTTAAATTCAAAAAAGCGCTTTTTTGAATTATGACATCAATTATAGTCGATTATAAGCGATTTTTTTTGAACCGTTTATATAATCGTAAAAAAAGCGATTGTAAACGGTTTTTTTTTTAAAAGCGCCGAAAAAGCGCTCAATAAGCGATTATCGGCGCCGATCATAAAATATCGTTTATGGAAACTTGCCTAATTTTGTTTGATTAAGTGTTTCATATTTTATAATTACGATTTAAGGTACAGTTAAATTGTGTATAATTGCTTATTATATATTATAGTCATAACATTTTCTGAAATAATTCATTAAATCCCCGGCTGTGCCCTCGGCAGATGTATGGTTATTGGCCGGGGCCGGGGTAAATATTTTGGCCGGGGCCTGCCCCCGGTTAATTGCTAAATTTTGGCCGGGGCCGGGAAGAGCCGGGGTTGTGATTTTTGCCGGGGCCGGGGACCAGGTCAAACACTGATAACGTTGCATTACACAATTGTTGAGTTTAACATAATATTATAACAAATAACTTATAAGGTTAATGTCTTACATTGAGTTTCCTTACAATTCAACTTGAATTGTCGGGAAACTTGAATTGAATTCAAGATGTATAATTCTAGAATTATCCTCATAGAAGTTTTTACAATTAGCTGGGCAAGATGACTGGGACTAGTTGAGCTGGCGAAGCCGCGAAGGGCATAATTCAATATTGTAACTTTTGAACATTAGATTCCAATACATTATGTGTACTAGCAGGAACCCGTATAATATAACCCTAAACGGTGTCAAGACTCAATATACTAAAATAATTATTACCTATTTAATTGGCGTTTTTGACACCACTTGGGGGTCCAAATTTTAGGCTCTAAAATCATTATTCCTTGGCCAATTTTTTATTTTTTCATGCTGATTTGAAGGCCATTAAAGCATTTGACCCAGCCAAAAAAGTTCCAGTTGTATATCTTTTACGGTTTTTGCGGAAAGTCGCGTTAAAGTTGATGCCGTGGTGTCAGTAAAATGGCACAGATATATATATATATCGTCTCGCTTTATATATAGTAAGATAAGCTAATATAATAGCTAAGATGCCTGCAATATTATCTAACTACAAGTACAACTCTAATACATTTCATCGTGAATTGAGCGACTCTATTTCGATCTGTTGAGGGATTACGATCCAAGATTAACCTTCTTTTGTTTTTATCAATTATCGATAGTATTAAAACTTGCTGCATTATCAACTTACCATCTGACAATCTGTTTTCCTGATTTAAAAGTAATACTTTCTCTCCGGTGTTTTTCATTTTACATTTGAAAAACTTTTGACCCTAACCATAGTTATGGGCATGTCGATATTATCTCATTGTACACAGCAGTACAAAGTACACAAATCTGATCGAACAAATATCGGCCGATGGTGCGATAAAGTGCGGTATTAAGTAAATAGTGCAATTCTGCAAACCGCACCCACCGCACTTATATGTTGCCTCTGAACCCAATCATATGTAATTAAATTGTGCTCATTTCACTAGCAAAGCTTACAGATATAAGACCCGCGTTACAAACAATAAGAGTCCTAATGTAAGACACCAAATAGCCACCGATTATACCTGTGCATCAGAGCTGAAGAGGGTAGAAGAGGAGGTAGGATGAGGAACTTCAGGGCCACTACCAGAGTTAATGAGGAGGACTCTGTCACCATCAGAGGGTCTACAGCAGCACGTGCAAAACACTGAAGACACACTGTACACACAAATGTAGAGAAGACTCGCTACTTGCGCGACGTACAGGTAGAACTGTACTTCGTTCAATGTGTCTTGTCTGAGGGAGGTAACTTATTTGTTATCAGTCAGATAAAATTAATATATTCACGTCAAAACAATTGTACTTCTTGACTATAATAAGCTCTATGAATGGATGAAGCTTTAAAGAAGTACCAAAAAAGCAGGTTGACTTGAAGATAATTGAAAAAGGTTGGTCCAAATAGCAAACCTTTGAAAGAACCAGTGCGGACTATTCCAAGCAGAGAAAGAGCCCGCATACCTAGCAAGGTTACCAAACCAGAACAGGGACGGTACTATGGGCAACATCTTCTTACTGGTCAGATAGAGGGATGTGGTAATTATCCAGGCTATCAGGTCTATACTGATCTGAGAGGGAGAGGGGTAATCATTTCATTGTTAATTCAATGATTTGTTATTAAGTTGTGTTTTAAGAATACTATAATATCATGAAGATGATTTGAGTATGGACTATGAGGAGGTAGTCAAGTGACTTCTATTATCTAGTAAAACATTGTCCATATTATTAGTGTGTGATTAAAAAGTTCAAAGCATTGGAAATTATGAAATTATGAACACAAGATTATGATGTTTGGGATGTTTGTTATGCTTTATATAGTTAGTGAACCAGCTAACTACGTTTCCTTCGCTTTGTAATTATTGTTTAAATTATTTAGTTATATTTTATTCGATATCTTTGTCGCAAAGAAGCGGGGTAGTAAGTACTGTGTTTCGTTTCGTTTCGTTTCGTAATTGTTATTATTAATTGAGGGAAAGGCTTGCATTAAGCTTGTGTTACTGGAGCGTGTCACAGTTGTCAGAAGTGTGAAAGGAGCAAGCATGCCGTAACCACGGTAACGAGATTTTTACATCTAGCCATTAGCAGCCGGTAGCACGATATTTTGCTGACTTAGCTAATTGTACTCCTAAGACTTCAGAATCATACGTCACCGGTCACCTGAAGACCGCGCAAAGCATAATTTTGTCTCACCCCTATACCATGACAGATTGGCCATGGTAACGTGTAACTCTAGGTAGTATGTACTAGATATAATATAAATAGAAGGTAACAGGACCGACTATATATAGAGCCTGGAATCTAATCAGTTGTGATTTAATTATTGGTAGATATTGGTCTGATGACCACGTACCCCGATCATTTCCCCTTCTGTTCATGTTGTATTCTGCAGGCAAGAAGATTGACATGGTCAGACGTTTAGTGCAGTGGTCGTGTCATTTTTTAGGATGTTCCTTATGTAGATCGAGAAACTAACGCGAACGCCTTAAAATCAATGAACAAATACATTTTTATGGTATTATTATATATAAGAGTAAAATATGTACGCTAATGACGATTACAGTAACTCGGCGACTGAAAGGATGCCCATAATTTTCATCAGCACAAGATTGTATTGAAATATTATAAATCTATTATATCTAAGTGTCGTAAATCAATTTTTAATTGTCGTACGACAAAATTTATATCAGTCTGATTTTAGTTGGAATGTGACTACCGAACTTAGAAGTAGCAGCACAAATAATTCACTATTTGTCCTTCGATATTAGTTCCTATCTTAGAACAAGTATGTTCATCAGTTCATGGTTTCTTCCTTTGTGTGTTCTATTGATAAAATCAAACATTTGCTACGTCCGCCGCAGATTTTTATTCTTCCGCAGAACTTGTTTTTCTTGTGCTAATACTTTCTCGTCTCGCTTAATAAACACTAAAGCGTTTATTATTCTGAGCAGTGAGCTGTAGGCTCGAACACTTCCTCTTCTCGAAATTCGTCATGCTTATCTAGTATCTACCCTCTCCTCGCTTGGATGTTTTCTACAATTACAAGGGCGGGGATAACTTGTTTTATTGATGTTTTCGAGCAGAAACAGTTTTTCTTCACACCTGTACCGGATAACGGTTTGATAAGGACTTCATACGTTTTCTGCCTGATGTACGTGGGGTAAACACTTATGTGACTTTAATGTTTTTCTGAACCTCATGACTAGTTTTGTTTATAAGGCTCTACAGTCTACAGTTTTCTTAATCAAGATATCACTGTACTATGGGGTTCTAATATTAAGACGCAATGAAACTACCTAACTATAAGGTTTTCTATTATAGTCTACTATCTAGGTTTCTCTTGTTACTCTTATTACTGTGCAAGCTGCACCTGAAAGGTGGTACTACTGATTTTGCTGGTGATATTTTGCAGTGATTACTGTGCAAGCTGCACCTGAAAGGTGGTATTATTGATTTTGCTGGTGATGTTTTGCAGTGATTACTGTGCAAGCTGCACCTGAAAGGTGGTATTATTGATTTTGCCGGTGATGTTTTGCAGTGATTACTGTGCAAGCTGCACCTGAAAGGTGGTATTATTGATTTTGCTGGTGATGTTGTGCAAGCTGCACCTGAAAGGTGGTATTATTGATTTTGCTGGTGATATTTTGCAGTGATTACTGTGCAAGCTGCACCTGAAAGGTGGTATTATTGATTTTGCTGGTGATGTTTTGCAGTGCTTTATATTAATATGATATGCACATTTTTTCTTCGCCGACACGTCAAAGCATAACTTGTAGTTGTACTGATCATTAAAATATTCGCAAGCGCCGAATCCATCTTACAGAGAAGCCATTGTAGTCCATGTTACAGTTGACAGTTCAGAGTTTCAGTTGTTGTAACTTCATATTGCATCTGTATCTTGATTGTAGATTTGCATTGGGTTTTGATGGCCACTCATATTTTTCATAATCGCACCAGATTTGTGTCCAGTTTTTTCTCCTCCATGCTAAGTGTAAGTTTTGAAACTTGTGACCGGACAGGGAGTGCAACTATAAACTAATCGCACCGTTTTGAGAGCACCTGACAACATAGTCGGATCAACTATAAACTAATCGCATTGATTTTCTAAAACGAACTGTAATATCGTGTTCCATAATTTCAATACATAAGGGGTCGTTCACATAATATCACGTAATCAATATTTAAGCAATTAATACCCCCCTCTGTAATCAACCGTAATTAAGACCCCACCCCCGCCCCCCCCCCCCCCCCCCCCTCCTGACAGCAATATTACGTAATCATGGCCTCCCCCCCCCCCCCCCCTTGACTTTTTTCCCTAGAAAACACTTATCTCTACGTTTCATGCTACCCTGATCATGCTATCATGATGAGCCGAAACCATTGTTATGATATCCAGCCAAGCACCTTCTAAACTACTGACTATTATAGCCGGATATTCGATCAATTTCTAAATTGTATCACTGCAGCTGAACTACAACGATACTTCCCAAAGAATATCTTCTCTCATAGTTCGTTATCCCCATGACAAGTCAGGATTATGAGTACAGTAACCAAACTGTTTATAGCATTAAAAGTGATGCAGTACGGTACACTTTGGCAGGATACTACCTGGTCGTCATCAGCTCATCTTTCATAGGAGACACAATCATTCTCATAGCATCTATAAAATACAAGGCTTTCAAACTGCACAATGTGATGATTGTCATCATCCAGCACATTGCGGTCTGTGATTTGTTGGTTTCAGTTGCAGAGGTACTCCCGAAAGTTGTTTCTATTTCCGCTGGTGAATGGGTGTTAGGCAGATTCCTGTATCACCTCTTATATTATCTGAGACTTTATGTCATGATATCAAGCTTACTTCTTATCTGTACCATGACCACCAGCAAGGTGCTGCTCCTAGAATACCCCCTCCGACTCGGCGCAACATCATCCAACAAAGCACATGTGATCTGTGCGGCAAGTTGGCTAGCTGCTTTTGGGTTACCTCTGACTCATGCTATCGTAGATCGACAGGATAGCTTCTTTTCATACAGAGATTATTCAATCGAATACGGTTACTCATCTGATATTTGGAAATGGCTGCGACCTTTAAGTGCAGTGATATTCGGAGTAGTACCAACGTGTCTGGTTGTAGTGAACACAATGTATTTGCTGATAAAAGCCAAGCGAGTGGCTCGCAGGGGCCAAGAAAGTCTGAAGTGGCAAGGGATCAACGCGACTATTCTTACAGCAACGGTTTACTGTCTTTCTGTCTTGCCAATGGTTACGTACTTTATTGGAGAATCCCAAATCAAAGTTGATGAAAAAAGCCAAAGTTTCTTCCACACCTCTTTTTACAGAATAGCTTCTTCATCATTTTCCCTGAATACCATCTGTAACTTTTACATCTATAGTTTGACTGTGAATGGTTTCAGAAACTTTGTCCGATCGATAAAAACACTAGTGTCCAGTAGGCTTTCTGCCAATTTGGAGGGAACGTCAACTAAACACGGTGAGAGATTTATTGACTTAATTTTATTTACCACACTGATAAATTTCAGTAAAATTTCTACTCAGTTGTCAATTACTTACTGTAACTGTTAATTCAGAGTGTTGTAACAGTTCATTCTTCAGGTGGAGGAAAACCGAAAGCGAAAGCGAACACGGGAAATGCTAATGGTAAAATAATAGAAGGAACACCAGTATGATTGTAATTGGTAACATTTATTTTGGGAATGGATTTCGAAAACCTTTCGGAACTTGTAATTTTACAATCAGAAAATGAAAGAGACAGTTAAGTGACCCCGACCCTTTCTTCAGATATGAAAGTTGAGCCCATAATTTATAACTTTGTTAATATAAGAGTTTGTGTGTGTTTTATTATTTAGTTATTTATTTCCGGTGTTTTTACTAGGTTTACCCCTTATTTCTTAATCAATGTATCTGTTGAAACTCTTATTGATCAGTGTTTTGTGAATGATTAATGTTGTGATGTGGTATACTTGGATCGTTTTGATATTTAATATATAATTTTAATTTTATTCGTAACACAACTCATTCAGCAATTTAACTAAACCAAACAAATTCTTCTCAAGAGCATAAGAAATAATTAATGTCTTGATAAATGGTACACGAAAGTAATAGAATTTCAAATAATCACCAAACTCAAATTATAGCTGAAACGTTAGGTACTAACATGAATAATGAGGTAAGCGTATGAAGGACCCTGCATAACGATGTATGTTACCATCCGAGCAATCAGCACTCCTATCACAACCACGTGACACAGCAGTTTTAATCTGCTGCCCTGTTGAAATAATATCGTTACTGTAGTTTTACCACGATTTTACCTCAGCGTTACCTCAGTGTTACCTTAGTGTTACCTCAGTGTTACCTTAGTGTTACCTCAGTGTTACCTCAGTGTTACCTCAGTGTTACCTTAGTGTTACCTCAGTGTTACCTTAGTGTTACCTCAGTGTTACCTCAGTGTTACCTCAGTGTTACCTTAGTGTTACCTCAGTGTTACATCGGTGTTACCTCAGTGTTACCTCAGTGTTACCTCAGTGTTACCTCAGTGTTACCTCAGTGTTACCTTAGTGTTACCTCAGTGTTACCTCGGTGTTACCTCAGTGTTACCTCAGTGTTACCTCAGTGTTACCTCAGTGTTACCTCAGTGTTACCTCAGTGTTACCTCAGTGTTACCTTAGTGTTACCTCAGTGTTACCTTAGTGTTACCTCAGTGTTACCTCAGTGTTACCTCAGTGTTACCTTAGTGTTACCTCAGTGTTACCTCGGTGTTACCTCAGTGTTACCTCAGTGTTACCTCAGTGTTACCTCAGTGTTACCTCAGTGTTACCTTAGTGTTACCTCAGTGTTACCTCGGTGTTACCTAAGTGTTACCTCGGTGTTACCTCAGTGTTACCTCAGTGTTACCTCAGTGTTACCTTAGTGTTACCTCAGTGTTACCTTAGTGTTACCTCAGTGTTACCTCGGTGTTACCTCAGTGTTACCTCAGTGTTACCTCAGTGTTACCTCAGTGTTACCTCAGTGTTACCTCAGTGTTACCTCAGTATTACCTCAGTGTTCCCTTAGTGTTCCCTTAGTGTTACCTCAGTGTTACCTCAGTGTTACCTCAGTATTACCTCAGTGTTACCTTAGTGTTACCTCAGCTCAGTGTTACCTCAGTGTTACCTCAGTGTTACCTTAGTGTTACCTCAGTGTTACCTCAGTGTTACCTTAGTGTTACCTCAGTGTTACATCAGTGTTACCTTAGTGTTACCTCAGTGTTACCTCAGTGTTACCTCAGTGTTACCTCAGTGTTACCTCAGTGTTACCTCAGTGTTACCTCAGTGTTACCTCAGTGTTACCTTAGTGTTACCTCAGTGTTACCTCAGTGTTACCTTAGTGTTACATCAGTGTTCCCTCAGTGTTACCTTAGTGTTACCTTACCCATGGTACAATCCAGCCACATAACAAGGAGTCGAGAGAAATTTTTGCAAGTATGACGTAATGACGGATCAAACATTCCAAATCAATCAGGGACCGTTCACATATTACGTAATCGCTTTTTGGTCAATTTTTAACCCCTCCTCTCTCCCCCATCCGTAATCAATTTTATACATAGCTATTGTGTCAAAATTACACTAGCGTCATCATTTCGAACCCCCCCCCCCTCGGCTGATTACGTAATATGTGAACGACCCATAAAGAGACTAATCAGTTATTTAAACGAAGGTGAAAGTGAAACTACAAACCCACGTAGGGAGTTTGATCGGTTCTTTGGGGGCGATCAGTGAAACTAGGAGACCGAAGAACGCCAGGGTTCCCAGAAGAGTTGCACATAGCAACTCGTACATGCATGGGTTTATACCGTCATCAAACCATTGCGTTATCGAGATAGGACACACTGATTAGTTCACAAATAATTAATCGTATTTATTCGAATTTGTCGAATCAGGGTAAATTATTTGCTGTTTAATAGGTAAAGTCAATTATTCAAATAAGAAAGAGGATAAAATAATACTCGTAATAATATTCTGGAACCCACCATTGATGTCTTTAGGCAGTAGTACCCTCATTTTCTCCCTCAAGATGGTAAGATCTCAGTTAGGCTATGTGTTATGTTGGCGAGCTAGATTGGTCCATCTGAATCCTTCGTGCACTAAGTCAGATTATTGTCATTGTTTTAAAAACTTAATACAAATTATTCATTTTTGGTTGAATTGTAATTTAAACTTTTAAACTGATCAAAACAAATAAGACAAGTTGGTTTGCTACTGTCCACTTTACGACAATATTAAACTATCATCATGATTTTAAATTATGTGATACCAGCTGTATTAATTTAAATAGTTGCACGTGTAATTTGTATAGTTGTTTTGGTCCAAAAGAATTTTGGAAACCTTGATTGCATATTTTCTAGTATTATACTTTCAAAGAAAGGAAAATAAAGTCTATGAAATGAATTATGAACCCAAAATTATAATATAGTAAATTATCGTGACGCCACGGAAAAGAAAAGTGGAAGTAACCCCTTTATGTTTAAAAGCTATTTTCTTAGTTTTTAGCCAAAGCGATTTTCGCATAAAACATGATAACATATAATACAATTTTGGAACAATCGAAAATTCAGCAATATTAGATTTTAAAATATATAAATTAAGCAAAATAAAGGTATATATACCTTTATTTTGCTTAATTTATATATTATTAAAATAATGCGTGATTGAGCAATTAAAAGATTAGAACTGACAAAGAACAAAAATGAACAATAATTTAATATACAGAACTGTGAAGACTCACAGTGACCATTTGACCAAAATACAGATGTAACTTGTTGTTCTACAGTTCAGGTGTATTGATAAGCTTATCAAATTATGATAATACTATGTAACCCTGCCTTCGACCGGATTTCATTGTCGCAGTTAAAACGGTGCCAAAGTATAAACCCGCTTAGTCAAAAACCCGCATCAGACTGCAACAAAATTGTCAAGCAAATAGGAGTCATGAGTAAAGTAAAATTTCAAGTAGCAGAATATGAAGTATTACCAGAGAGGGTGAAGCATTACCGGGGGGGGGGGGTGTCATGTCCGTCTATGTCCGCCTATGTCCTGTCCTTTTTGGATTCTATGAGACAACGGACGTGTTTTTTGGGACATTGGCGGACACGGACGGACATTGGCGGACTCGGACGGACATTGGCGGACTCGGACGGACATTGGCGGACTCGGACGGACATTGGCGGACCCGGACGGACATTGGCGGACTTGGATGGACATTGGTGGACATTAGCGGACATTGGTGGACATTAGCGGACAAACATTTTGAGGACTGAAGAGTACTGAAGAGTACTGAAGAGTACTGAGGAGGATGGCTGAGAAGGATGGCTGAGGAGGATGGCTGAGGAGGATGAATGAGGAGGATGACTGAGGAGGATGACTGAGAGGGAGGAGAAGGATCAGGAAGATCCAGGAGGAGGAGGACCCAGAAGGAGGACCTAGGAGGAGGAGGAGGAGAACTGAGGAGGATGACTGAGGAGGAGGAGGACTCAGGAGGAGGACTGAGGAGGACTGAGAAGGAGGAGGATGGCTGAGGAGGATGGCTGAGGAGGATGGCTGAGAGGGAGGAGGAGGAGGAAGAGGAGGAAGAGGACTGAGGAGGAGGAGGAGAAGGACTGAGGAGGAGAAGGAGGACCCAGGAGGAGGAGGACCCAGGAGGAGGACCCAGGAGGAGGAGGAGGACTGGGGAGGAGGAGAACTGTTGAGGACTGATGAGGAGGACTGAGGACGAGGAGGAGGAGTAGGAGGAGGACTGAGGAGGAGAGGAGGAAGAGGACTGGGGAGGATCAGGAAGACCCAGGAGGACCCAGGAGGAGGAGGAGGAGGACTCAGGAGGAGGAGGAGGACTGAGGAGGACTGAGGAGGAGGACTGACGATGACTGAGAAGGAGGAGGACTGAGGAGTACTGAGGAGGATGGCTGAGGAGGATGGCTGGGGAGGATGGCTGAGGAGGATGACTGAGGAGGATGACTGAGAGGGAGGAGGAGGAGGACTCAGGAGGAGGACTCAGAAGGAAGAGGAGGAGGACTCAGGAGGAGGACTCAGGAGGAGGACTTAGGAGAAATGAGAAGGAGGACTGAGGAGAACTGAGGAGGAGGAGGAGGAGGAGGACTGAATAGGAGGAGGAGAAGGAGGGGGACTGGGAGAGGACTGGGGAGGAGGAGGACTGATGAGAAGGATGAGGAGGAGGACCCAGGAGGAGGAGGACTGAGGACCGAGGAGGAAGAGGAGGAGGATGAAGATGAGGAGGAGGATTGAGGAGGAGGAGGATTGAGGAGGAGGACTGATGAGGATGGCTGAGGAGGATGACTGAGAGGGAAGAGGAGGAGGAGGAGGACTCAGGAGGAGGAGGAGGACTGAGGAGGACTGAGAAGGAGGAGGAGGAGGAGGACTGAATAGGAGGAGGAGGAGGGGGACTGGGGGAGGACTGAGGAGGAGGATGGAGGACTGAGGAGAAGGATGAGGAGGAGGACTGAGGAGGACTGAGGACTGAGGAGGAAGAGGAGGATCATGAAGAGGAGGAGGAGGACCCAGGAGGAGGACTCAGGAGGAGGAGGAGGACTGGGGAGGAGAAGGACTGTTGAGGAGGAGGAGGAGGAGTAGGAGGAGGACTGAGGAGGGGAGGAGTAAGAGAACTGAGGAAGATCAGGAAGACCCAGGGGGAGGAGGAGGAAGAGTAGGAGGAGGAAGCATCTAAATGTTATTTCCATTTTTGTCCGTTTCTGTCCATTTTTGTCCGCTTTGACCTTTGTCCGCTCTATTTTTTGTCCGTTTTGAAAATATAGGGTACCGAACGGACAAAAAACATGATCCCCCTATAACAGCAAAAATTGAACATTTTATTTAGCAATTTAGGTGTCCATTTATGTCCGCCTATGTCCGCCTATGTCCGTCTATGTCCGCCTATGTCCGCCTATGTCCGCCTATGTCCGTCTATGTCCGTCTATGTCCGCCTATGTCCTGTCTTTTTTGGGTTCTATGAGACAAGCGGACATAGACGGACGTGACACCCCCCCCCCCCCCCCCATTACCAAGAGAGGGTGAAGCGAACACATTTAAACTTAATTAACATATCGAAACAGAATGTTGTGCCCTATTTGAACTTCCTATAAAGCACCGTTCACCCGACAATAACCTTATTACATGAAATTTTAACCTCTCTTTAGTCCGACAGTAAATTTTTGCTCACTTTATTTGTTGTCAGGGCGGACGGTAAGTAATTGGTATGGAGGCAAATCCGCTCCCTCACTCAGACTGAGGAGCTAAGTGTCTCGTGATCGGACCTCGTCTCTATTTCAGATCAATCTGTCGCTGTAATAAAAAGCAGCATGCGACCAATTCAACCACAAATTGAACCACTTAGAGGTTGTTCGCATATTATACAATCACTATTTAGCTAATTTGTAGCCCTATTGGTCCTATTGGTAATTTGCAGTGGCTAAAAAACATGGTGAAACTTACATCATCAACAAAAAGCTAAAACCAATTCATCAATATAGTATAACCCTCGATAAAAATTCGACTTTAATTATTCTTATTTCTTAACAAAAAAATCAAGCTATTATTCTTGAAATCAATTAGTATTTAAGGTTTAATCTCAATTTAAATTTAACAACAAATATCAGCGCCTCTTTTGTCTACCAGTGTTTAAATTAGTTTAATTAACTGGCTTTTTTAACTTGTCCGATGTACTCCGCAAATGATACAAGGCCGTCGTTGTTCTTGTCGAAATCTTTCAAAGTTAAATCTACGATACCTGAGAAAGAAATATCGTTAATATTAGGAGTAGTGCGCACATTTCATGATATTGTGTTACTTAAATAACATAAGAAAGGTGTTATGTATGGTTTTATGTATGGAAACACAGATCGAGATGATTAAGTTGATTCTGAAATACTGGAAATTCAATGCAAACCATATATACAGATAATAAGATAATAACTTAAAGGAACTAACCGACATAAGTTTGTAAATCTTTATCATATTGTTCAGCAGTGTAAGTGTCATCTATCTTCTTACTTCTGTGATCTCCAAATGAGGTGAGGAGTTCTAACCCGTCCATAAATCCTGTATATAATTAACTTATAACTTTAGTGAACATTGTGATACATATAAGTTTAAAACTCGGCTTCGCCTCACACTTGAAGAGCCCTTCGGTGAATAGACGGAGAAGTGAGAACCCTACGCAAAGCACTGTCAGTTCAAGGCAGAGTAAGTTCTCTTGGTTTAAAACACGAGTCTAATAAAGTCATTTAAAATCTTAAAATCTCTGATTTCTGAAAGAGACAAACCGTCTTTATCGGTGTCATGAACGTTGAAGTATCCAAAATAAACATCATCTTCAGTGTCTAGTTTCACATCCTCTGCCATCTCAGCTAAGTGTTCTTGTAGATGCCTGTAATCGTGGTATGTGAATATTCAAGAAATCACTTCCTGTCACTCAATAATTTGTAACTGTTCCACAGCATTAGATATTATTAGCTTTGTAACGTTTAATAAAATGTTTACACAACAGTACACACCATCAAACCCTAGTGAGCGGTCAAAGTGCGGTCGTTCGTGTCGGGTTATGATTTAGTTCTGTCGAGTTCAGTCCTGTTTATAGTCTAATCTGCAATCTGTGCGATAGCAGTCTTTTGTTTAGTTAATATTCCGTTTTCTCAGAATATAGTCAATCGGAGATTTACCATTCTTTAAATTTTGACATGTCACTGTTGAGTCTGGTTGACAAGTTGTGTCTACCTCGTTGGGTTTAAGTCGGGTTTACAACTCACTCTTTCATGTGCTCATCATCAGGGTTAACTTCGAAACTCTTGCTTTCGTGTGCCATTACTCCACAGAAGAGTAGAACTAACACCAACATACCGGTCATAGCTGACATTTCTGTATTATATATGAGTTTATTTGATAGCGGTAGGAACCGAGAACATGATTAAATTACGATGTTTTTTATGTTTGATTCTATGACACAGAATACTCATGATAATAAATCCTCAATATTTTTTGTCTTAATTCATTGTTCTGTAATGCGTATTTTCTCAAGATTGGTGAGATGAAACATTCCATTTACGAGCATTATGCTAAATAAAATTAAGAATACAATTAAAAGATAAATTTAAAAGATGTACAAATGACAACGAGATACATATTGCAGGATAACAATTCCAGGGAACATAATACTTCAAAGAATGTTTCAAATTATAAAATAATGCTTCGTCACGCTTTCCCGACAATCCACTTCGTCAAATATTTTCAAACAGAACAAAAATAGCTCTGAAAACCAGGACTTTATAAACATATTCAAACCACGGTTATTAATTAATGCATCTAATATTTTATCTAATATGAACTTTTAGAACAGTATCTTGTGAAAGTAACATAAACTGAATTATCGCCCTCTTTGTAAAAATGAAGCTATGTTTTTATCTTCACTGGATCTTATGAATAAAAGTGGTGAGATCCTCCACAACTCCATCAGTATTGTCAAGATGAGAGAAATGTCCTCCGTGGTCGTGGTAAGTAAATCTGAGGATAACAATTCAAATTATTGTGATAATAGCCGGTTTGGACTTTAAAAATAACGTCTAACGAGCCACAGATTTCTGAGCCTTGAATGCCACAAACATTAACAATAATTCACAAAATGAACAAACAAGGATAAACTAACTGTTTGATGTTGTTGAAAGTTCTCCAGGACGTGAACTTGGTAAGATGTATTATCTCGTTAGGAAAGTTGGAGATAGCAACAGGAACTGTGGGAATTGTGAAGTTCTCCAGATATTCTCGGTCATTCCAGTAAAAGTCGTAATACATCCTGTAATCAATTACATTAATCAACCAGCATTCCTTTACACAATATTCTGTTTTTATAACGTTCTACCACTCTGTAACATGAGCGGAAAGTTTGTCAGTTTATTTACGCTGAAAGCAAAGTTCAACTTTGACTCAAAGTTGTCCTCAACCAGGATATATCCTGTAGCTGTCTTTGCACGGATAAGGAATAGTTTAAGTTCCATCTATCTTATTGTTGCTATCTTATTGTTGCTACAACTCGAAGAAGTAGCAAATAACAACAATCTCAAACAATTACCTGAGGGAAGCCTGAGCGTTCCTCATGGCCCAGAAGATAAGAACAGTTGCACAGACATTATCTAAACCATAGTTGATGAGTCCTTTTCTCCACTGTTTAGGGTCGTTGTTCGGAGCACTCATTGTAACCAGAGGAGAACCTTGAAAGAGGATAATTAGTGAAGGTTGAGAACATACTTTATATTTACAGAAAATAAAGTGAGCCCAAGGCTTTAGAGCAAGCAGATTTCATAAAGCTCAGAAGTCGACAGATTATAAACAATTTCCAACTCTTCGTTGTGAGATATAAAACATATCCATGTGTTCACCTATCCAGGAGATGAGTCCGAGAGGTGAGTCCACTAGAGCGTATCCTAATGTGTCTGGTATAACTGTCTGGATGTGGAAGAAGGCAAACTTCTTGTACATCCTGGGGGAGAGGGAGCTTAGCAATAATATCATTTATAAATACTTTAACATCACAAGCTGACTTATAGATATATCAGGGCTAAATTACAATTAAAATACAGAATTGCATATTCGCAGTGACTACAAAGGTAGGTTACCTCTCTTCTAGTCCAGATATAGGGTTGATAAAGGCCTCTTCCTGATGCGTCTGGTAAACCAACTTAGGAGCGAACAAGCCAACTAGCAGCTGACTGACCTGTCTCCAGCCGAAGTGAATGTGGTTCAATGTGTTGTGCAGACCGATCACGTGATCAGGATACACGTGGGTCATTACAGCTCCGATTATTGCTCCCCAGTCTCCACCGTGTATCTGGTGAAATGGAGAGTACTGAGTAACGGGAGAATCAGTTTCAAGGACCTAGTTAGAATGTAGTGTCCTATAACCACACCTAAGAGACTGAACTTCATGATATAGTTATATTATATCTTATTCAGCAGTTTGACATGCCCACTCTCCCGTTTTTGTATTTAAAGTACTTGAAAACCTCGGATTTTTGAGTGGTCTTTATGCACTTTTATCAGAAACGGCAGCACTAACATCTGAATATATCATGTAAACGCAATTTAAACCATGTTTACACAAAGGATCCGTCCCCTAACTCACGATATATTTGTGATATCCTAGTTTCACCATGAGTTTGTGGTATGTAAGAGCGACAATACACGGTGAAACACCGGGCAGTGTGGGAGCTTCTGTAAAGCCGTGTCCAGGCAGACTGGGTGCTATTACTGTATACCCTGGAGAAGATGGTGCTATTATTAGATTTACAGGGGCAGTGGTAATACATATATCAATCATCAATATTATCATTATTATTGAGATTTACACAGAGCAGTGATAATCTATTAAGTTATCTTAGTTATGTTAATGTACAATAAGTACAAAGTAATATTATGTATAATATTAATGTATAGCAATATTATGTTGGTTCAAAATAAATAGGGCAAAAAACACTGTACTCAAAATGACAGAAAAGGGTAGAGGTCTAACCTTGCTCAACCAGCATTGGGATTGATTTGTGGAACTCCCAAACTGTGCTTGGCCAGCCATGAAGTAACATGATAGGAGTGGACTTCTTCTCCTCACTTCCAACCATGTGTATAAAGTGCAAGTTGATATCTCCTGGGAAACAACAGGAAGTTAATATTTATTGTTTCTACAAACTTGAAATAATACCTTATTTACGAAGTATGTAAATGGAAAATGGAGCAGGTTAAATTTCACAAAATCTTGACAACCAGTAAGTAGTCAATACAGTGGTCTCTGTTAAAAAATCTAACAACTTGCCTATAACAGTTTTAAAATGTTTAAACTGATCAAGGACACTGTTAACATCTGCAATCTCGTAGAAATCAGTCAGGTGATTAGCTACCATGTTAACATAGCTAACTGGAACACCGTAAGGGCTGCTGTCAGGGTCCTCCAGGTTATTGTTTATAACCCTCTTTCTCAGACGATCTGAATTGTGGAAAATGTGAGATTTGTGGATGACAACTTGATTGGAAAACTGAACATATCATCATTTAAGGGTTACAGTATAGGACAGTTTCAATGAAATTAAGTTTCAAATTCCTGGACGTTGCTATCACACAAAATAATCATTAATTGTAAATCACCTATCATGTCGAGAAAAAACTCCTCAGTAATCAGATCAGTAGGATTAAACTCGACAACATCTGAATCTTTCCAGGATTCGGCCAATTCAATATAGCCTTGTTTCCTTTCCTTCATCATGGCAGATATCTTGCGTTTCTTCATAAAGGTAACGAGTCCAGCCACAGCAAGGGGCATCCCAACTATCACTACTATGTAGCAAAGTTCCATCACTCTGAAGAAGGTATGGTTCAATTTTGCAAAACAAAGTTGATTATCAGAAAGCTTCAAGAAGGAATTTGTCTGTAAGTCGAGTAAATTAAGAAATGTCAATTTGACAAAGATTGTTTCAAAAATATCATATTAATATTGTGATGTTATCGATCAAAGCAAAATATTCAGTGTTCACTGGAAACGTTAAATTCAATTTATAAAGCAACGCAACTCAATAGAATTTGATACTATTGACAATGAACACATTAGGGATAACTTAATCTTCAAATTATCTCATAAGCAAGAAGATCAAATTTCAACCTGAAATTGGTGATATCAACTCCCATCCAATCAAATATCTCCCAACATTAATTAATCAAATATCTCCAGTATTAATTAATAATTATGTTTACCTAAATTATCTGCATCAACTTTAATCCGCCTTCTTGTCTTAGCACCCCACTGTATGATTATTTACCAATGTAAATAACATTATAAATCCAGCGAACTAATGTTGTTGAAACCTGTAACTGAGAGTTTGAAATAAACGAACAAAATTCGTCAAGAAACAAAAAACGATATTTTTTTAATTTATCGATTTTGACACCACCTGAGAGTCTAATTTTTGGGACCTTTTGTATTTCTTCATACTGATAGAAAGGCCATAAAAGCATTTGACCCAGCCAAAAACGTTTCAATAATATATCTCTCACAGTTTTTGCGGAAAGTCGTATTGAAGTTGATACTGCAGTGTCAGTAAATGGCAACAGATATACACCAATATCGTCTAGCTTTATATATACAGTAAAACCCCGATTTATTGCGCCCCCGATTCACCACATACCCCAAAATACCGCGGCCATTTCCTTTCCCCCAAATAGGGCTAAACATACATAATGTAAACCCAACAAACCCCGACTTAATGCGGACCCCGATTTACCGCGGTTGTTTCCTTTCCCCCAAACTCCGCGGTAAATCGGGGTTTTACTGTAGTACGATATTGGCAATTTAATGAATGTGTGATTTTATATTTGAACACGCAAATAATTAATTAGATTGTGTCAAGAGTAACAGAGTAACTACGCGATGTATGATCATTTTGATAAATGGTCAAAATATTACTACAATTCATATCAATTATTTCATGTAAAACCAAAAACACGATAAAAATCAAATAAATCAAGAACCTTACTTTTAAGCATTCGTAGGTGATAATTTAAATAGCTAAAGCCTTTCGATAAAACTTGATGAATCAAAACGTAAATTATATCTATTAGCTTGTGATAAAAGTGGTAATTCGTAATTAATTATAAAATTTGGTAATATATGTTAAATTAGTAAATAAAAACATAAAACTCATCTGTTAAACATCATTTATCATATAAAAACAAACAGTAAATTAGCACACAATGGTTCAGTTTAATTTATAAATACTCTGAATAAAAATCATTACAAGCTAAAAAGAAAGATATCACATCAATCATGTCTAAAAATCGTCTCCATAAAGTAAGGGTATTGATAATTTGATGTAAGTCCACTCGACTTACTCGACTTAGGGCGGCTTCAACGTCCGAACATAAAGTCCAGAAGAGGGATTTTTCACTTAATTTTCTGGATAAAAGAGGTCAGATCCCCGACAACAGCCTTTGTGTTGTCAATGTGGGAGAAGTGTCCTCCGTGGGTATGGTAGTTGTACCTAGGGTTGAAAAAAAGTAGCTTTTTTTGACAATTTCAAGTCAGATAATTGAATTAAATCAAAATATTTCAGGCGCTTCAAAAATAAACATGTACGTCTAAAGAGTTGATAATCAATAGTGATCTGAAAATATATTATACTCACTGCTTGATGTTGTTGAAGATGGCGCCGGTTGCAAATCTAGTCAAATGAATACCCTCGTTAGGGAAATTAGAAATAGCAACAGGGACATTTGGGATACACAAGCTCGAAAGTAGTTCTGTATCGTTCGAGTAGAATTCGTGGTAAATCCTGCAATTTGAATTAATGGAGATTGAAGGTAGTATAATAGCTGATAAACAAAATAATATTTTCTGGCATTTAAAGATTTAATCAAAAGATCTTAGGATAAATAATGATTAGCACCACGTTGAACGTCAAACGTTATTTTGTGATCAAAATATAGCCAAATTGGCACGTCATATCATATTCCAAATTTTTGCACACCCATTTTACACAATTCTAAGTCAGTGCCAACTGCTATATCCGACTAGCACTCCATAACAAAAATCTCGAACCTGACAGGAAACAGTATTTTATATTCACCTCATTGAAGCTTGTGCACTTTTTACAGACCAAAATATGCTTATCATGGCACAGATATTGTCAAGTCCAAAGCATTTTATCCCATCTTCAATATTGGCCATTGCACTCTTAGTCGTATCCTTTGAACTGCTAGCCATAGCATAACAGGATCCTGAAAGCAGTATGTAAATTAATAAGAATTCAAAAAATGTATAGGCTTGGAAGATTTTCCACCCGAGAATACTATTCGAGAAGTCAAAATTCCACAGAAAGATTCTAGATGGTAATATCATTATTAGAGATTACCTATCCAACCAATAAGTCCAACTGGGGAGTCAACCATGCCATATCCATAGGAATCCGGTAGCACAGACTGCACATGAAAATATGCAAATTTTTGATACAGCCTTTGACCAAATTTGGAGACAGGGTGCATAAATCCTTTCTCTTTTGCAGTGGTGTACACCAAAGAAGGAAACACTGCTCCAACCAAGGTTTGGAGTATTTGTCTCCAACCTGAAAAATTGGAAAGTGATTCATTTTAAATAAAAGTGCATCTTCAATAAATGAGTAAGATTCCTTCTTTTTTTTCAACAAGGTGCCCATTCAAGAAAGCCAGGCAGGAAAATTAAATTAAAATTATGATTTTCACGATAAAACATTAGATTTCAACAGGTCAAAACAGTCTCAAAACTTACAAACATATGAAAATATTGCATACCAAATTTAACTTGATTCATAGTATTGTGAAGTCCAATAATACTCTCAGGATACATATAGGTCATCAGAGACCCAATAATAGACCCCCAATCTCCACCATGGATCTGAAGAATTGAATAACTATCTGACCAAAAGTTGGGTTTGAAAATATTTTTTATCGGTGGCCAAAAATACAAGCATTAGCTAACAGATTACAGATAATAACCAGTATAATTGACACATTAACTTTTATAATTTATATCAGAATACTTACAACGAATCTTTTATAGCCTAGCTGCAGCATTAGTTTGCGGTAAGCACAGGCCATCACAGCAGGGCTAACTCCGGTTACATTTGGTGGTTCTGTAAACCCAAGACCAGGGAGACTTGGTATCACTACGGTATAACCTAAGAATAATGTCTTTAAGAGTATAATATCAGTTCATATCATTCAAGGAAGCATTTAATGAACTATTAAACTCAAACTCAGGGCTTAAAATTTCAAGGATTGACACGTTTAAATGTTCAAACCTTGTTCAACCAGCATTGGGATTGATTTGTGGAACTCCCAAACTGTGCTTGGCCAGCCATGAAGTAATATGATAGGAGTGGACTTCTTCTCCTCACTTCCAACCATGTGTATAAAGTGCAAGTTGATATCTCCTGGAGGAGTGACATGCTTATATTGAATTAATTATGAAATCAAAACTTGAGGTATAATTTTTAAATCAGCCACAACTATTCAATGGAGGTTCTAAGCATTAGTTAGTTTGCGATATTATTTGTCAAGCAACTGAGGAACTTACTTTGTACTGTTTAATGTTTATTCTACATACCTATTACTGTTTTAAAGTGCTTAAACTGACAAAGCACATTGTTCACCATAGAAAAATCAAAAGAATTCGTCAAATGATCTGCCACGAGATTGACATAAGTCGCTGGTGTTCCATAGGGACTGTTCTCGGGTTCAACCAAGTTGGGAATAACAATCCTCTTCTTCAGTCTATCTGGTAATTATAAAATTTTAAGTTTTAATATTGAGTACTTATACAGCATTAATGCAATAGAAATACATTTTTTTCAGAGGAATCTTCCTGAAAATGCACCGATAAATGATCATTGTCACACAGAAACTGAATAATTCCATAGAAATGTACCTGTCATCTCATTGAAGTCAACTTCAAGCATTTTTGTTCGAGGATCAAACTCAATGATCTCAGATTTATCCCAGGAATTTGCTTTGTCCTTCAAAGCATCAACAAGTTTTTTTAGTCGAAGAGACTTCCTCCTTTTGGCCAAAAGGACTATGAATATAATGAGGAGAAGAAACCCTCCTACGAGAGTTGAACAACAGAACATTTCACTTCAACAACCTAAAGAATTTAACCGTAAAGGGGGGGGGGGGGAACCAACGGGCATTAATGGGCATTAATGGGCATTAATGGGCATTAATGGCAATGGCAGTCTGAGCAAAATTTTAAAATACTGCCATTAATATGCCCATACTTTTTTATTCGCTTTTGAAACTTTCAGGTCACTTTAGGGTACTGTGAAACTAGACTCACATACTAAACTGATGATTTGGCACGTATCTACCGAAATTTAGAGACCATAGACATTTTTCTATTAAATATGGGCATTAATGTGCATTAATGTCAATGGCAGTCTGAGCACAATTTTAAAATACTGCCATCAATGCCCGTTGGTTCCCCCCCCCCCCCCCCCCCCCCCCCCCCCCCGTCGTAAATAGTACATAAACTGTACATTGTACATGTGCTCAAGTATTATCATAAATAAATAGGGTCATACACACATGCTTCAACACAAATTACCCATTTTCGGGCATGTTGTGGGAGTATCTCTTATGCATGCCTATGATAATCCGTTGAGGAATAGGTGGGCTCTCGTTTTTTCATTTTCGAAGTTTTAAAATTTAACGGTGTGACACATTTCACTCTTGAAACAATTGTCTCCATTTTTTAAAGCACAAAATTACATCGTAAGAACTAACATTTTTACTGCTACAATAAATTGTTAATAGTTTTACTTTATTCGTACAAAACATCAAAAAGAAAACCATCACAATATTATAAAAACTACTAAGTTAAGCTGGAAATGTTTGCACATTTCGACAGCTATCTGCTATATATTAAATATTATAATCAATTTTAATCAATCATAAATCATTAAAATCAAAACGTAAATCTTATCAGTTCAAAATCATTAGAATTTAAAAACATGCCGTATAATTTGCACACATTGGTTCGGCTGAAGTAATGAAGTATTCTGAATGAAAATCGTAATTATGAATAAAAATCGTATCAAGCTAAAAAGAAAGATATCACATCAATCATGTCTATAAATCGTCTCCATAAAATAAGGGTATTGATAATTTGAGGTTAAAGTCCCGGAGAAGCCTGTTCACTGAAGTTTCTGGATAAAAGAGGTGAGATCCCCGACAACAGCCTCTGTGTTGTCAATGTGAGAGAAGTGTCCTCCGTGGGTATGGTAGTTGAACCTAAGGTTGGAAGTGGTAAAAATAACAGAACAGTATTTAATTTCTTCCAATTTCTTAAAAACTAGCTTCAGTTTTTTATTCAAGTTAAATTGAATTAATTTTAAAATATATGTGCTACTAACATGATGTGTATAATATATCATATGTTTTAAAATTTGAGGCAATTCAAAATATATTTTAAGAATTTACTATTATCCATAGATAATCGACTCACTGTTTGATGTTCTTGAAAGTGGTCCATGATGCAAATTTAGTCAAATGAATAATCTCGTTAGGGAAATTAGAGATTGCAACAGGGACATTTGGAATTGTCAAGTTTGAAAATAGTTCCTTATCGTTCCAGTAGAATTCGTGGTAAATCCTGTAATTTGAATTATTCTAGTCTAAACTGTTCATGTTTGAGGATGAAACAGTGGAATAGATCTATATTATCCAAATCTCGGGATTTTTATTCTTTTTGTTCATATTTTATTAAATCCTAAGAAGTACCTCATTGAGCTTAAAGCGTTCTTTTGTGTCCAAAATATAGCCAAATTACTGCATATATTTTCAATGCCAAAATTTTGCACACCCTCTCTCCACATTTCTAAGACAGTGTCATATCCGTTGGTACTCCATAACACAAATCTCGAACCTGACAGGAAACAGTATTTTATATTCACCTCATTGAAGCTTGTGCACTTCTTACAGACCAAAATATGCTTATCATGGCACAGATATTGTCAAGTCCAAAGCTTGTCACTCCTTTATTAAGATTGGCCATAATGTTCTTGGTCAAATCCATTTGACAGCTAACCAGGGGATATGTGGTTCCTGACAAATGATTTAAAATTTTGAAAATGTTTTCTTTTTCACCTCAAAATAAAATTCGAAACGTTGGTCAATGGTATTAAAAGAATTATAGTATTATTGTTGAGGTTACCTATCCAACCAATGAGTCCAACTGGGGAGTCAACCATGCCATATCCATAGGAATCCGGTAGCACAGACTGGACGTGAAAATATGCAACTTTTCGATACATCCTTTCACTAAATTTGAACATAGGGTGCATGAATCTTTTCTCCTCTTCAGTGGTGTACACCAAGGAAGGGAACACAGCTCCAACCAAGGTTTGAAGTATTTGCCTCCAACCTGTAAGATGAAAAGTCATCCATTGTATCTATGAAGTGCAACATCTCTAATCAAGTCAGATTTTAATAATGGATTAAATGAAACAATAGATTTGAAATTGAGTTTCTTCTGCCAAAAGGTGTTCCACTCAAGAAACTAAAGAGATAAATAAATAAAACTCAGAAAATGAATCAAAATATCGCATACCAAGTTTGAAGTGATTCATTGTATTATGAAGTCCAATAACACTTTCAGGATACATGTAAGTCATCAAAGACCCAATGATTGCCCCCCAATCTCCCCCATGAACCTGAAGAGCCCCAAATCAAAGTTTAAACAGATTTAATCTAAACTGGATCTCCTGAGGATTCTCCTCTCAGTAAATGATTCAAAATGAATATACAGTGTACATATAACGAAATGAGCATAAACAAACAGATAATATCCAGAAAATAACACATCCACACATTAATGTCAGAAGACTTACAATGAATCGTTTGTAGCCTAGCTGAAGCATTAGTTTATGGTAAGCACAAGCCATCACAGCAGGGGTTACACCAGTAACAGATGGTGGTTCTGTAAAACCATGGCCAGGAAGACTTGGAGCAATTATGGTGTAACCTAAGAACAGTGGCATTTGAAGGGCACAACCATTTAACATTCAACCTCTCGATATTATCATATTAACTTAGTTAGCAGATAAAGTTATTAAATGCGTCTTTTTATAGATAATTATTGTTTATGCTAATTTAATACTGTTACACTGCAGTTCCACGGCTCAGTTTTGCAACCAGATTTGCTCACATTTTTTCTCACATTTTTGCGACCGGAAATGAAATTCAAAAATATTTCTCCGCACGGAGAAATATTTTTGATATGACTCAAAACTCCGTGAAAGCAGTTTTAACCTGGGCGCTTGCGTGGGACATTTCATTATAATACGCCCACGTGCGCGCGCAAATCTGCGTGCAAAAATACCAACCGTGGGAACGTACATTGTAAACAAAACTGCCTTCGCGGAGTTTTGCCTTACAAAACTCTTTTCGCGGAGTTTTGTGTCAAATCTGGTCGCAAAACTGAGCCGTGGAACTGGGCTGTTACCAGGGTTAATACCTAATTATGCCCTGAAATTCATGTTCAAACCTTCCTCAACAAGCATTGGGATTGATTTGTGGAACTCCCAAACTGTACTTGGCCAGCCATGAAGTAACATGATTGGAGTGGACTTCTTCTCCTCGCTTCCAACCATGTGTATAAAGTGCAAATTGATGTCTCCTGAAAGAGTAACTGGGTAAGATTGAATTATTACAGAACCAAAACATGAGGTATACAGTACTGTATTTACTTATTTACGTTGGCCACTTCTCTTCATATCAATGGGAAATGTAAATAATAAGTTGTATTATTGTGAAATTGTTAAAGCTACTTGGAAAGTTACTTTGTACTGTTTATTCCACATACCTATCACTGTTTTAAAGTGCTTAAACTGACAAAGCACATTGTTCACCATAGAAAAATCAAAAGAATTTGTCATGTGATCTGCCACCATATTGACATAAGTTGCTGGTGTTCCATAGGGACTGTTCTGGGGTTCATCCAAGTTGGGAACAACAATTCTTTTCTTCAGTCGATCTGGTAATGATCATTTGAATTATAATATTACTTATATGCCATCTAACATGTGAAATAATCCTATCATTTTAGATCAAACTTAAATTTCATGAATATGCAAAGACACACAATCATTGTGACACAATCATGGATGATTCTCTAGAAATGTACCTGTCATTTCATTGAAATCATCCTCAAGCAATTTTGTTCGAGGATTGAACTCAATGACCTCAGATTCATCCCAGGAATTTGCTTTGTCCTTTAGAGTATTAACACGGTTTTGTATTCTGAGAGACTTCTTTCGTTTGGCCAAGAAGACAATGAATATGATGAAGAGAACCAACCCTCCTATGAGAGTAAGACAGCAGAACATTTAAGCCTAAAGAAAAATCATAAACAGTTACTGTTCTACACAATTTGTACCTTCTTCTTCAAACGAAAGGCTGTTCAAACAATATAGGGGGGGGGGTGTCATGTCCGTCTATGTCCGCCTATGTCCTGTCCTTTTTGGATTCTATGAGACAACGGACGTGTTTTTTGGGACATTGGCGGACACGGACGGACATTGGCGGACTCGGACGGACATTGGCGGACTCGGACGGACATTTACGGACCCGGACGGACATTGGCGGACTCGGACGGACATTGGTGGACATTAGCGGACATTGGTGGACATTAGCGGACAAACATTTTGAGAATTTTTCCCAGAAGGAGGACCTAGGTGGAGGAGGAGGAGAACTGAGGAGGATGACTGAGGAGGATGGCTGAGGAGGATGGCTGAGGAGGATGACTGAGAGGGAGGAGGAGGAGGACTCAGGAAGAAGAGGAGGACTTAGGAGAAATGAGAAGGAGGACTGAGGAGAACTGAGGAGGAGGAGCAAGAGGAGGACTGAATAGGAGGAAGAGAAGGAGGGGGACTGGGAGAAGACTGAGCAGGAGGAGGACTGA